TTTTAACGCTACGATTACTTGGAGAGATTACATCTTATGGCTTGCAAGAAGTTTTTATGTGTTGGATCCGCTAATCCTAATTGTATGGTTTACGGTGAATGCGGGAGATATCCTATGTATATTTATTCGCAAATACGATGCCTTAAATACTGGTTTAAGATTATGTTAATGCATGAAAGTAATCTACCAAAAATATCTTATAATATGATGGTTCATCTAGACAATATGGGTAAAATATCTTGGGGTCTTGTCTTGTGACAAAATCTTCAAAATTGATATCTTCATACGGCTGGGAGAGATCCCTAAAGTACTTAGCAAATAGGTTACAGATACTTTCTGGATTGTCACAGGTCTCGTTCTCGTACACAAGGGTTTTAACTCGTTCTTTATTGCGTTTGTACTTTTTTGTAACCCTGGTATATTCCTGAATATCAACTTCGGCTGCTTCATAGATGTCCCTGAACTTTTCGTCTTGAAGTTTACGTTTTGATCGGCGATGTTTGTTTCGAAAGATTCTCTTAGCCTGCTTATATTTTACGTAGTGAACATCGTCCTTATTTCGTGGCTTACCCATATGGACCCATTCTTTACGTGCGTGTCGCATATCGTTATGACATGGCTTTAAATTATCCCTCTTCCAGTAGGGTTTTAAATGGGATTGAAATTTTGAAGCAGGAATACTGATATTGGCTGAAGCATGTAATGAATCAAGGATGAAATTATGGTAGGCTTCAATATACTCCTCTGGTGTGTTGTAATCAGCTATATCTAAACTGACATTTCTGAAATAATTTTCAGTCTCATAGCGATAAAGCATCAGATCAATGCTGTTGGCCTTTCGCCAGTTTAACTTTTCACCCCCATAGTGATATTGACGTACATCATCAGTTACATGCATACAAATAAGTATAGGGGTAGTGATCTGAGACAGAGTACGGGATGGAATAGTCAATATCATAGCCAACAATGCTACTTCTACAATCAGTGTTAACAAAAAACATAATCGATCATAGTTTTAACCTGTCTACATTTACTAGTGTAGGTGTAAGCATTTTGATTGTCCAGTGGTACAATCGAGATCAGGTCACGTTCCTTCAAAGCTCTCTGCAAACACTTAGCTCGAGGTTTTAATGCTGAGAGAGTCCGAAGGTCAGTATTAAAATCACCAAGTATTACAGTTTGTCCATGATATGAGCAGGTATCGTATACATCCATAGTATTATGGAGTTCTTCTGCGTAGACAGTGTCCATGACATTAGACGATGGAAGTTGCACACCAACTATGTACACTGGAATGCCACATTTAGTCATCTTAACACCAATGATGTGTTCACTGTTCGGTATATTTAATACCGAGACACTACAACTATCTTGCTTCCTGATGAACAATGCAACTCCACCAGCTCCTCTAGGTGAAGAATGGTTCTGCTGGCATTTGACACACACATGGAAGTCGTCATGAAGTTCAGTTAAATTGGTTTCTGACAAAGTGTTCAGTTCCAGTTTATACACCGACAAATATTCGTAACACCACGAATATTCCATGTAATGACACGAGATAATGACATTACAAGAATCAGTATGTATAAATTGCAAGACATATATTACTGTCCGTTACCTTCATGTCCATTATCGCCGTACCATGTATTATTCGGAACCCATTCCCGACAGTTCACGTTTTCAGGCCAGAAATAGTCGTCATCCATGATGACGTCAGCAGAGTCTCTAGTGACTGTAATTCGTATAGTGTATGTCGGGTTACGCGGACTGTCCCAATGCTTCATCAATCTGGTATGAGATATCACAACGCCACGGTCTTTAGCGTAATCCACTATAGCGTCTTTGATGATGTCAAAAGACTTGTCAGCACTGACATAACTTAGCTAAAAAAATATCGGAAAATGCAATATGTATTCTCTTTGATAAAATACTTTTTAATCTTGATCTGGATTTACTGTATACATGTACATATATTCACCCAGAGGGATCCACGTTCTACAACAAACCAGATCTATAATGCAAAAATGGCATCAGTCTTTTCCAAGATGGTCTATTAGATGTTTTATCAAACATGTCAGATGTAAATATTTTGTGCGAAGGGGATTTCAAAGGTACAGAGCCCGATTTCATTGAGGATGATATCATCAAACGTACAGAAGGGCAAGACCATTCAATGTGGGATTTCTTATTAGATGTTTTTAGCTTAAAACGATTTTCAAAATTGAAAATTCCTAAGGCAAGGGCTTGTTAGACATATGCTTAGTTCTCAACATCCATTTAATGAATGGACGATGTGGATTGGACTCAAAATGAGGCGACCCTACATAACGGAACAAGTGTAGTAGATTATATAATAAGTTCAACATTGATGTTTGTTAGTGTGCTTGATTTTGCAATCCCTTCCCGCGCAGAATCCAACCATCTTCCTCTTACTATGACTGACTGACTGAGTATGGTTTTACGCCGCTTTTAGCAATATTCCAGCAATATCACGGCGGGGGACACCAGAAATGGGCTTCACAAATTGTACCCATGTGGGGAATCGAACCCGGGCCTTCGGCGTCCTCTTACTATGAAGTTACATTGGCTTCACACGCATCAAACCACAATTAAGAAATTGATATAGATTTGTTTGGGATGATGACTTGGATATTTAGACAAACTATGTTTTTGGAAAGTATTCAAGAGTTACTAAGCTAGTCAGCTTCGTATTTACAAACACTGACAAAAGCATAGATCTTATTGCACAAGCACTTTGTACAGCTGCCTCTGATATGAAAAATCAAACTGGTAAGAGAAGAAACAGAGCTCAAACTTGGCATGATGCAGAGTGTGATAAACTAAAAAAAAAGAAAGATGCAAATGATTAAATAAATTTCGTAAATCTAAGGATATTCGATCTTCAGAGGATTACCATTGCATTAGAGATAAGTACAATGCAAAAACGAAGTGAATATTTGAAATTGAAACAACAATTAGAAAATAGTGTTATCAATTCTAATCAGTTTGGTCTTCTTTGAAAAATTTGAAAAGTCCAAACAAATGACATTGAGATCAACGATTGGTATTCTTATTTCCAATGACTCGAGAAGAAATCCTAAATAGTATTAGACAACTGAAACTGAACAAATCACCCGGAATAGGTGATACTATCTCCGGATTTTTGCTACAATCATCAGAAATTCTACTGCCGTATCTTGAATTATTGTTTCAGTCCATTTTAGAGAATTGGGTTGCTCCACATTCATGGTCAGTTGGTATCATTATACCTATTCATAAGCATTGTGATAAGAAACAAACTGAATATTATAGAGGTATTATTCTTCTTAGTGCATTCAGTAAAATATCCATTGTCATTATAAACACAAGTTTAGTATTGTGGGCAGAATCCTTTGATAAGATAACCGAATCTCAAGCTGGTTTTAATTTAGGAAAGATATACTACTACTGACAACATATTTGTTTCACATTCACTTATACAGAAATACTTAAATAAGAAAGGTATCAAATTCTATGTTCTCTTTGTAGATTTTGTAAAAGCTTTCGACTCTGTTCACAGAAAAAAATGTGGAATCTCCTAGATAATCATTCCTTAAGCAGTAAGATGAGTAAACCTTTAAGAGTACTCTGATAACGTAAAGAATATCGTATATAATGAAATATATGAAACATTTGAGAGCCAAATATGTGTAAGACAAGGTTGTATCTTAAGCCCATCTCTATTTTCTTTCCTTATCGATGAACTAGCAATACAGACTAGCAATGTTCAGATGCATCCAGATATAGCACAGCTATTTCATATTATTTGCTGATAATATCAGATATTGAACATTTACTATTTTCAACTGGTTTCGCTAATGTATGGCTAAAACAGTGCATAGACTCGCGTCCAATGTTTCTCATATCCATTAAACAAAGGTTACAAGATATATATCTCCAGGATTGACTTGACCAATAATCTGTTTCAAATAAATGTTTTTATTACAAAATGTTTAAGCAATCTATATACAATGAAACCTATTTATCATCTTTGAATATTCGGAAATATAGTTTCACGCTTGCAAAATTCCGTTTGCTCATCCCATGATATGTTAATAGAAACAGGTAGATATATTGGAATAAAAACAGAAGACAGAAAATGTAAAATGTGTGATTTGAATTCAACTAAAGATGAATATCATTTTCTGTGTGTTTGTCCACCCTAATACACTTTGAGAATGAAGTATATCGAGAAATAGTATTTTGTACATCATACTATTTGTAAATTTATATATCCATGAACCTATTCTAGCAAGGAACATCTAAGAAAATTGTCAATGTTTCTGTATACACAGACAAAATGTCCTCTCTGCTGCTGAATAATATTGCCTGTATATACATGTATGTACTATAAGACCTGTGGCCTCTTAAGTGCAAATAAAGATTGATTGACAAGGCAAACCAGGAAAGATATTCACTATATTTTCATTCAAGAAAATGAAACCTTTTGTCAGTTAGCTGAGTGAGCTTTCTGATTATGGATACAAAACCTTGGCCTATGATGTAAGGTAGTAAAATAAGGCAACAGGAAGACTAACCTGTGAAATGGTTGAATATTACCGATGTTATCAGCGACACTGCTGCTATCAGATGACAGGCTAAACATGTTTTCTTCCTTCCGAATCTACACAGAAATAAACAAAAGTTGAAACGTAACCAACCTCACTCTTCATAACGATTGTAACGTAGGACGAGGTTAACCTAGGTTAATTAGGGTTGTCATAATGAGGTGAATGAGGGTTGAGTGTCCTGAGCCGATGGCAAGTATGATGGCTTTTCAAGTATGTTGAATATAACCAGAAATATAAACATGTACAGTGCCACATTATATTGTGGTAATAGTGATGTATCCGGTGACATCTAGTGGTACAACCTGTATGAATACTTATATCGTATGTTTGATCCAGTTAAGATCGAAATCCTTCAACAAACCAATATTCCATATTTGAATGTATCATTACCTGTCGACTGTGAGCCAGAAGGCGACAGCAGCAAACACTTCTGTGACAGCACTCAGACCAAAGGCGATGTATTTGTCACTATGAAACTGTGTGGCGTTGAGACTAAGTCCGTGGTATGTTAAATTATCTGTCATCCTAATCACAAAACAAAACTCATAAACAAATGATATGACAGCTACAACGAAAACAGATGCATGGCAAAGTCGTATAATTAATTCTGCTGATTATTTTTGTCTTACCACACATTTAAATATTTACAAAACATTATTCTCATATCAGTCAGAAGATAAATGTACACATTATCGACACATTTTTAAATTTTAATTCAAGTATTAAATACGACCAAATACCTGTAGTAATTCCACTTAATACTAGTATGAATCTGCATGTGTATGTATTTACCATATAAAACACAGGATTGCTGATAAAGTAAGTATTTGTCTGTCTTTGAATATCTGCAGGAGTGGTCTATCTTCTTTTCTCTCAGTTTTTGAAACACCCGGACTGTGTTCATTTTGGTCCTTGTGTGTGCCCGACGCTAAGAGAGGACTTTGATCATGAAGGTTTGGTTCTTTTACTTTTTCTCTGAACAGTGTTATGATATAGTTCTCATCTTTATGATTCATATGGCTAGCCTTCTTTAAATTCCGTTCTATGATACCGTATTTCTTCTTTGCTGCCAACCATCTTGAAGATTCGTCCATTACCCTGTAAAGAGGTTAATAGTCAGTGCTCAATTTTCTTTTAAATTAACTGTTTATTTCAGAAACCCCTGTTACAAATAGGAACTCGTGCCCAGGGTAACAGGAGCCCCATTGCGCTAAAAACGAATACAGAAAAAAGCTTTCTGATTTGTGTGTGTGTGTTTGATTGTGTGTGTGTTTTTTTTTTAGATATTAGACAAGGACACCACACCAGCTCTACGACACCACACATCATACTCTATATGCATATGATGATATGTGAAAAGTCGACTAAGCAATACATGTTATGCAGTTTGTTACTGACAACAGATGATATGAAGTTATAATTGCAAATATGTTACTGGTAACAAAACCATGATATAAATGACAGGAGATTAAAAATAAAACAGTGATACGTTGAGTTTATTCACAGATATAAAATGTTGGCTGACAATGGTTAATATGAAATTATAATTGCAAATATTTTACTGGTCAACTTTGACTTTTAGTCTTTTCAATGTTGTATCTAGCACTCAAAATTCTCATAAAATGTATATTATTTGGAGCGGAAGCCGAGATATGATCTTTTACAAGTGATATAATGAGATAAAACACCTCGTCAGAGATAGAATGCTCTTTATAGCCAAATATAACCAGCTCTGGGGTAAAAGCTAAGTTACAAACATGAGAATACTCTTCAAGTAACATATCTGAGAGCGATGCTCAGAGAGTTTGGACAAAACTGCACTCCAAAATTAAATAAACAAGTGTTTCAATACTATCACCACAAAAAGAACACTTGTTACTTGTGTGTGTGTGTGTGTGTGTGTGTGTGTGTGTGTGTGTGTGTGTGTGTGTGTGTGTGTGTGTGTGTGTGTGGTGTGTGTGTGTGTGTGTGTGTGTGTGTGTGTGTGTGTGTGTGTGTGTGTGTGTGTGTGTGTTGGGGAGAGTCCCGATTAGGTGCCTGACTCTGAGGGTGTGGGTTTGAATCCCGGATGGCACTCAACCCAACCAATAGTACTAGATTCTGTACTTTACTGTGAAAATGTGATAAAACATTGTTACATGTTACAATGGACCACCTTCTAATTGACAATGTGCATTCAGGGTCTATTTTTCATCAGCAGTTTCTCGTATATCCATAGAGCTTTCGGACTTTGTGTGCTGGCGATTAGGTGCCTGACTGCACTTTACTTAGAAAGTGTAATCCCAAACATATGTTACAAACAGACCTAGTTCCTCCTACAAAGGCAAAATCGATTTCCGTTGGATGTGCTGAAACAATGTATACATGTCCTGCGCCTGTCTGTTGATATCATAACAGAGTGCCTACAAAGTGAAAAGGGATGGTTCGATATCTTGCTCCCAACTTCAGCATACTAAAGAATCAGTCATGCACCGAACTGGTCATGTTATTGCAAGTGCACATCCTATTTCTTCCTGTTCGTAGAAAACGAACGTTTTAATTAATTATAAACTCACCATGGTACAAGTATATAGAAGCCTGATGTGAGGCCCGCAACCAACTGGTGATACCTCCAGTTGAGATCTCTCATCAGGTAGGCCGCCACAGCGTAGATTACAACCGACAGTGACCAAATCAGCGTGCTTATAATCCCAAACTTGGATCTGTGCCTGGTTGGGATGATTTCTAGACCGATCGTTGTTGACGTTAAAGCGACGCCCTGAAGTAAAGATCATATAATCTGCAAGGAGTTACACAGAGTTTGAACACAAAGGGTTTGAGAAATATGAAAATACGAATAACTACAAAGAGACGAGCTGCCCTTTGATCTGTCTCATACAAAGCGCTGCACTCATCAGTGGTGTTTTATTTTATCCTTTCCCAAACATTAAACTGATAGGCCATGATACAACTGACATATAGTTCCTACCTGTTCGAATCCCAGTTCTTTCGCATTAGGTTTCTGAGTTTGTAAGTACCATAGCCATGCTCGTGGTTTTCACCAAAATAGAATCACTTTGACTTTCTTCCCACACCGAGCTGACACGCGGTAAGATTGTTGGATTACTGTTCAAATCACAGGTAAACCTAACCCACACAGTCAAGACTACATAAGACCAAGCTCATTTACAATAAACCAATAAATCTTTCATTCTTGAAAATCTCAAACGTCTGAAATAAGGTTGATATTTGACCGTAATAAACACCCGGTAAAACGTTAAGCATCCCTAAATACGTTGATCGTTAACATAACTTTGTTGAGCTTGTGTATGATGATACATATGATAATAACGTTCATTTAAGAAAGTATTGCAGGTGTACTCAGTATAAAGTCTCTCCCGAACACTACACGTGAAGGTCCTGGTTAGAATATTGATCTTCAGTAACCCATGCTTATCGTAAGAGGCGACTAACGGGATCGGGTGGCCAGGTTCGCTGACTTGGTTGACACATGTCATCGGTTCCCAATTGCGCATATCGATGCTCATGCTGTTGATCACTGGATTGTCTGGTCCAGACTCGATTATTTACAGACCTCCGCCATATAGCTGGAATATTGCGGTTTAAAACTAAACTCACTCACTCACTCTTCCGAACACACCCTGTGGAGTATGTCTTGAAGCAAACCAACGAGTGCCGTGCAGTTGGTGCACGTACAATATGTTGGTATATAATCGTCATTATTGTACGAAGCAGACAGTGGGATGGCCAATTATGGAAAATTATTGGTACGCATAACTCCGGTATGTCCATTAAAGCAATTGGTCGGGAAATGAATGTCAACTACACAGTTGTCAGTCGTTTGGTAAAAAGAAAATACAGGGAAACCGATGAGGTGAAGGTTCGCCCACATTCTGGACGACCCTGGGTGGCATCAGATCGTAAAAGACAGGACACTTTTGAGGCTCACACAACTGTACGCTACAAGCACCGTTGACTACGAGAACAATCCGGAATTGACTAACGAAAGCCAATTGCGACTCTAGAAGGGTGATCAAACGTCCTCTACTGAGCGAACATTACCAACAAGCGGCAACGCTGGAATCTGAGGACTTGGCGAAGATTACATTCGTCTGATGAAAGCCGATTCCTTCTTCAGGTAAATGATAGAGGCTTGAAAGTTTGGAGAGGTACACAATATATTGATAGTACAATGTTCCCAGGTTACCAGTATACGTTTTTGTCTCATACATACGCAACATGGTGCCCGATCCTATCTCAAGCTCCACTCTTGTAACAGGTATCATTTTGAGCCAAAACAGATGCGTTTTGTGTGTTGGGCTAGATCCATTGTTAAAACGTTGAACGAAACTGCCCTTTTTTGTGTTTACTTGCATTCCCTAGATGATCTCACAGAAAAACAGTGAGCTATACCATTGCACTGTGGGTGCACACCAACATACAACTTTGAAAAACTTAACGGAGGTGTTTAACTTTTTTCTGGGGGTGTGTATTTTAGTTAATGATTAAAACCCATGATTATATGAATGAAGCATAATCTAGCTTGATATTTCAACAAGTGAATGAAATAACAATAACACATTAACCACAGAATAATAGTCACCATATTCGCAGCAATCATATAGTATTGCGTAATCATTTATATACACTACCGTCACCGTTGCCCCTTGTATAACCTTCATGACAGCAAAAGCAGCATATGTTGGTACAAATGACATGGCAGTGCTGGTTGCAAAGAAACAAAGTCCAGACAGTGTGAGGGACAACCTGCGTCCATATGTGTCCGATAACGATGTGAACAAGACCGAGCCAATACCCATACCAAACATTAAGAGGGTCTGAAGAAGGTCCCCAAGACTTTCAGTTTCACAGACGATGTCCCACTGAAATCAAACGGGAAATTATATTTCTTTAGATACAAATCTGTTCTCTTTAGAAATATAAAAATGTGTTCCACAGAGAGTGTTCCGGATTTTAACACAAACAAAAGGGACAGAGACTGACATGCTCTGTGTTGTGAAATAATGACGAATACAAAAGAGACAAGTGTTTGAGAAAAGACACCTTCGAAGGACACGATTCAATTGTTCTGATGTCAAGACAAGAGAATTTGGTATGGAAGTATATCTTAAAGCTTTATGTATATCGTTAATCTGATATCGTTCCAGAATGGTCAGGACATCAACCTTCCGAAAATCAAGTGTTCCAACATGTTGAATAATAATCCAACAGCTCCAGCCTTACCAATGTATATGCAATCGAACACGCTCTTTCAACGGTGTGTTATGCAATTGTTTCTGAATAGTTGTGTTTTCACTGTTACAACATCAAGGTCTCGTTAAAGTTTTTTAAACCATTATGGAGTGAGTGAGTGACTTATTATTTAAAGTCTCATCGGCAATATTTCAGCCATATCGTGACGAGAACATATTAAACCATTATGGTGGACATGTCAAGTGTAGATATGCAAGACCGTGTATAATATATATTAAAGACATCAAACGTAACTAAAAGCGTTTGAAAATGTGTAAGGAGAAAACAACTTATAAGTCCCAAGTGATCAGGGCTGAGTAAGAGTGAGTGAGTGAGTGAGTGAGTTGACTAATCACCGCTATAACAATAATGCGAGTATAACAGAACATGACAGTTTCCCATTCTTCAAAGGAAACCGCTAGGCTGTATTATGAAAGTATTTGTCCGTTGTCCCTTAGTAACACAAGATGATAGAGGATTTAAATGGTTCTTTCAATATGCATATCGTACTCTTACCTCAGAAACAAGTGAGAGTTCCCGCGGTTGTTCGTACTGACGACCTTCTATACACGTAAGTTCTTCCGAATGTCCAGATATAGTTGACGTAATGCTGATTCCACATTCATGGTATGTTATGTTCAAGTCAGAGATGTCTGCTTGAAACCCGAGACTCTCAACAACAGATGTTTCATTCTTCAGAACGTTACAGTGGCTCGGGACATGAATTCCTGAAGGACAATGATACCTATTTCATACAGAAACCATAACATATACTTTTAAAGACAATCTTGGCATGTTAGAAAGTGATATTCATAATATTGGAGGATATTTTATGGCTTGTATTATTGACAAAAGAGGCACTGAACCTTAGCATGTTCAGTCTGTTTGGGTCAAAATGAATTACAATTTAACTCCAAATCGGATCATGATCAAACATTCATTTCAACGCAGAATGTAATGAAAACATCAGACTAACTCTGGAAAATAAGTTACTTAATCAACTATTATCATTTTGTTTTGAATTTCTGTGACGTTTTACGAGGGTAAAGTAACTGTAGTCCAGTTGCAGGAAGCACGTGCAATTGTCACGTTACATCAAGCATAGCCAATTAATTTACTGACACGGTACATGAGACAGTGAAATTCACCTTTGACATAAAGTCCATTATTTTCAGTTTTTGACTTTTTTAAAGGCGAAAGAGAAAGAGGGATGAAATGGAGTGACGTTTTCCGAATCCCCCTCTGCATGAACTCCGCCAAATCCGAGGAGGATTTGGCGGAGATCTTGCCCTGGGCGATTCGGAAAACTGGGCTTTAGTGGCCTCTTTGAGGCGAAGGTGCCAGGCCTGCCTCAATGCACAAGGTGACCACTCTTGCTACTACTGACCGTGTGAACTTGTGTGAACCCCCTTGTATTGTGGCTCAAGTGCATATATGCCAGGTGCCCTGTTCTTAGTTTAAGTTCTTACATTCAACTCTGATTCTGTTTGTTGTTTGTGCTATTTATGTTTGTAATACATATGGTGGGTAAAAAAATAATCTACAAGTCATTTATGTCCTAAATACACATGTTGGGTACGAGTTATGTGGTGAATGGGTGTGCGTTAACCTGTGGTCGGGATACAGCAGGATTCGTTCTTGGTTAAATAGCTTGAAATTGGTATGGTGATTCGTTAAACTGAGACTTACCTATGAAAATTATGCTCATCGTATTAAATCGCATTGGCAGCACCATTAGTGAGGCAAAAAAGACTTGAATCATTTGATATCTTCCCCTCCATCCTAATGCGTCAAAGATACTGTCAAAATTAACTTCTTTCGTGGACGTCATCCTCTTTGGAACTGATACTCAGCCTGGTCTGATAAGGTTATGCTAAATATATAAGAGTCGTAACGATTACAATTGTGAAGGAGTGGAAGTCGTATTTACATGTGACCTAAGTGCAAAAATGCACTCATTCATAAACAGTGGTAATCTCGTATTCGGACCCATTGCCATTGAATCTTGGCATAGCTAAGGGAAACTACTGCTTTGCGGATATCTCTGCTTGCAATGAATAACTGGGAAATACCAACTGCGTGCTTCCTTTCACATCATGGGTGTAAGACAGACGTGCATCTGAATAGGAGTCCAACGTGTCATCTGACGCATGGTCCCTTTGGTTGTACCCAGCAAACAATGACAACTAAAAACGTTTTGAATCAATGAATGAATAGAAACGCTGAATCAAGACATACAGACATACATAGTAACTGTTTTGGGGGCCACGTGTGACGGTAATGCCAGTAGGTAACTGTTGTGGGAACAACGTGAGACGGTAATGCCAGTAGGAAATTGTTGTGGGGGCCACGTGAGACGGTAATGCCAGTAGGTAACTCTTGTGGGGGCCACGTGAGACGGTAATGCCACGTGTGGGGCCACGTGTAATGCCAGTAGGTAACTGTTGTAACTGGGGGCCACGTGAGACGGTAATGCCAGTAGGTAACTGTTGTGGGCGCCAACATGCAACGTAAAACAATGCCTGCAGGAACTTTGAGACGCAGATTGTGATACTTTTCGGTATCGACTTACCGAAACAAATCATCAAAAATGCACATTCAACTTATAAAGTTGAAAAATAACGCGATGAAAAAAACCGCGCGAAATCGTAGTTCAAACGATTCACTAACTTTCCCCAGCGCTTGGGGGAATTGAAGTGGTTTCAACAGCTGGGCTGCGCTCATAGCACATGCGCAGTGAAATAGGTTTGCGGAGCTTGGAAGCGGGTTGTCTGGTTAATATTCGGTGAAGGCTTTGGTGTGAGCTATTTTTCTAATGTTTTGTTGATATTTCACAGGCGCGAGCTTTTTATATATTATTACAGTAGATTACGGATTTAACTGTTTATATAATTTCATTTGTCTATTTCACCACACGTTCTTCTCACCGAGTCACTTTCTCAGTTCGATACTTAAAAGCAATGTCATTATTTAGCGTCGACAGAATTTCTAACTGTGATATAGATATGTTGTTGTCACAGACAAAATTCAATGTCTGTTTTATTGGCACCTATGTGTCTGCCTGCCTGTCTGCTACTGACAATATTCAATACACAACTGCGATCACTGACCACATGCAATTTGAACTTAACACCTATCAGGCTATACACCACCATAAACAAAACGCATTGATTTATGGCCCGAGTTCGGTCTCTGTCACATTATGTAATTACACAGACAGGCAGGTGTGATACTTGTACACATGACATGTTATGATGTCTGTTGATTGCAAAATGTTATACACAAAAAAGGAGCATGTATTTACAAAACCCAACATCTCTATATATACACACACAATGAGCCGTGAGGGCATCTGCAAATGAACCAGCCGTTACACTTGAGTGCACACCCACCCGCTCTGACTGGGTTCGGTATCCCGGCTGCTTCGTTTCTTGGGCAGTAAACCCAAGTACAAAATATTGCACTTTTCATTTGTGATTGTACGCTTATAATTTTGTTTTTATGTTTTTTCATAACCAGCAATGTATATTATATGTCATGAATAAGTGATAATTGTGTTTTAATTATGTTTGATTTTTTGGTTGCATGTGACCTTTAAGTAAATACATGAAATGGTCAAGAGTGTCAGAACATATTTTCTTCATTCTTTTTGATAAGTCACTTTTTGGACTTGATTTGGATATGCTTTATGTTTGGGTCTACATCCACCCAGAGGGCTCCACATGATGTGAACAACTTAGTCCACAAATGTAAAAATGACGTCATGTAATTCCAAGAGAAATTATTAGATATTGACTATGGACTACTTTACCTGATGTGTATATACTATGTGGGGGATATTTACAGCTCTAGAACTGGTACTAAACCTGATTTTGTGGAAGATGATATAATTGAATACACTGAACACCAAGGTGACTCATATTTGATGTTTTGAATCTAGAACGTTTTTCAAGATTGTAAATAATTTTGGAAAATATTTATTAGATTTATGTGCAGTTTAAAAATTTATATGATGAATGAAAGATGTGGTAATGACAAAGAGGTCGATGATTTTACTTTTAAACGGTGTGAGTGGTGCTAGTGTTATCGATTATAGTTTAGCTTCTTCAGTATTATTTGAACATGTCATAAATTTCAACATAGAATCAAGATGTGCATCAACACATCTCCCGATAACGATGAAATTACATACGACTCAAATGATTGAACATTAACTGTAAAATAGAACACAAAACTGAAAAATCATTTAGATTTGTATGGGACAATAACAAACTACAACAATTTAGAGATAATTTACTCTCAGATCATGTACAAGAATCGCTAGACAAATCCCTAAATTAAGCATTATCTGACACGGATAGGAGTATTGATTATATCACAGATGCTTTATGCTTAGCAGACTCAGATATGAAAAGACAAATTGGGAAACCATTGAAAGATAATTTAAATAAGTGGTTTGATAGGGAATGTAAAAGTTTAAAGAAAGATAGATGCAAAATATTAAATAAGTTTCAATAAAAATAAGGATAGACAATCTCTGGATGAATATCACAAAACTAGGAACAAGTACACGTGCATTATTTTGAATGTCAACAAGAACGTTGGGAAGACAGTATCAATGATTCAAAACAGTTTTGGTTGGAGTTAAAGAGTTTTAATCTAAAAAAGACTGAAAATAGTATACATATTGAAGAATGGTATAAATACCATGAGTGCATTCCCAGATAATGACTCTGACTCCCACCATTCTTGTGAAGTACCAGAAAGTATTTCTAATATGCTATATGCAAATCAGATTTTAGATGCACCGGTAACTAGGGATGAGATAATTGAAAGCATTCACCATCTCAAGTGCAACAAATCCCATGGTATTGATGATACTACTCCTGAATTTTGTAAGAATTCAGCGGATATATTAAATCCATATTTGGAACAAATATTTAGTGTTATACTCGAGACTGGTATTTTCCCACAATCTTGGTTATTTCGTGTAATTGTCCCCATTCATAAACAAGGGGATACAAATATTATGAATAAATATATAGGGATTACCCTCCTTAGCAAATTTAGTAAAAAATTACTTATATCATGAACAAAAGACTAGTTCTATGAGCAGATACACTGGATTAAATAAAAGAAGAGCATGCGGGTTCAGAGAGGATACTCAACAGTTCATAATATCTTTAGTCTTCAAACAATTGTACAAAATATTAAAGTAGTAAAGGTGGTAAATTTTATGTTCTGTTTGTACATTTATCGAAAGCATTTGACTCGGTAAATAGAAATAGACTATGGAATATTTTACTAATGCGTGGTTTGAGTAGGAAAATGAATAAACTATTGTGCAGTATTTATGAAAATGTAAAGGTATGTGTAAGAAATAATAACGATGTCTCAAAAACGTTTACAAGCCAGTCAGGAGTAAGACAAGGATGCATTTTAAGGGTCCAGGACAAATGCCAACAGGACAAAAACCACCCGGACAAAAGCCACCTCACAAAAATGCCACCTGGGACAAATGCCATCCCCCCAAAAATAAAAACCACCAACACAATATCATGTTTCCCAGATGTATTTGCATGATAATTCATTCATTAATATTTTTCATTTTTCATTCAAAGTCATTTTCTTTTACACTTTCATTATTGCTTTCATTCTCATCCTGTTTTCAAATTCATTTTCATTTACACTTTCGTTATTGCTTTCAAAGTCGGATGTTATGAGCCACACTCCTTAAGAATTCCATTTGGTGTCTGTTCCTGAAACCTGCAGCAATGGTCTGGAGACGCTGCTAGCAATCCCGATATTGCCTCCTGTGACTTGTAATGGTCTCCCCTGCCAACATCTGGGTAATCACCTGGTCGTTCAGAGCTCAACACATCCAAGAAACGCCAGATACTGGGATGACAGCCTGCCATGCTTGTCAGTAATCTCCTTTGCCACCCTTCCAGGTTGTTATTTGTCCTTGGTAGGTTGTCTAAAGTCCTCTGGTGTTGGTTCCAGCTTGATACCGCGAACATTGGTGGTCGTCGTCCTCGGTGAGGGTGGTAATTGTCCTCTCTGTAATGGTAAAATAACTTGGTGGCATTTGTCCTAGGTGGCATTTGTCCTAGGTGGCATTTGTCCAGGTGGCTTTTGTTCGGGTGGCATTTGTCCGGGTGGCTTTTGTCCTGCTCCCGTATTTTAAGTCCTTTTCTGTTTAGTTTCTTCATAAATGAATTAGCAACTCAAATTCATGAAAATTGCAATCATGGCATCCAGCTACATCCTGATATTACGCAGCTGCTTTTGCTTTTATTTCCAGATGATATTGTATTATTTTGCAGTACTGTTAATGGTCTACAGAGACAAATTGATGAATTAGAGAATTATTGTGATAATTGGAAACTAAGTGTTAACAAAGATCAAACGGAAATATCGGGTAAAGAAAAATGTCTTTTCAAAAGAGAACTTTTAGAAATAACATCGTTCTATAAATATTGCTTCACCAAACTCCTGTCATGGAATAGACACATTAAAGAGGCAGCCATACAAGCTAAGAGGGTTTTTATATCTATTTATAAACGCTTAATTTATTTTTAGAAAAAAAGGCGCTTTGTAAAATATTTTATGTTAAAATAAGCCCTATACTACTGTATGGATCTTAGGTCTGGGGCTTACAACATTTCGATGTCAGAGAAAAAGTTCATTTATATGTCTGTAAAAGATTTCTTGGCGTTAAGGCAAGCACGTCTAGTGTTATGGTGAATGTGGTAGATTCACAATGCATATATTTTCTCAAGTTAAGGCTATCAAATACTGGTTAAGATTGTTAAACATGCCTGCACATAGATTTCCCAACATGTGTTACAATATGATGATAGTTTATGACAATAATGAAAAAATAATTGGGTAACGAATATAAAAACATTGCTGTTTAAAACTGGTTTAGGTAACGCATGGTATGAACAAAACGTTAGCTGCTACCCTAATTGTATCATGTCACTGACTCAAAGACTTAAGGATATTCATGTGCAGACATGGTTTGAATCCCTGACTTTTCAAATGTTTCTATTACAAACTTTTTAAAGCGCAAATAAGTTTGAAGTGGTACCTCTCTAGGACAACAGTAAAGACGTTATCACGTTTTGATGTTCATCTCATGATTTATTTATAGAAACTGGACGCTATACTAATTTAATCGTCAAGAGAGACTATGCCAACTATGTGATTTAAATACTGTCGAGGATGAGTACCATTTCCTTCTTGTTTGTGCGCTGTACTCAGATCTTAAAAGAAAATATTTACCAAATCATTTTTACAGATATCCAAGCGTTATTAAATTTATATATTTGCTAACAAGTACAAACATTTTAATAGTTCAGAATTTATCAATGTTTATATTCCAAGCAACTTTACAAAGAATAAATAATAATATTTGGAAAAAATGTAAATGTTACTACTCGGGAGAATAAAAATGTATGTATGTTTTATGTACTATAGGCCTGTGGCCTCTTCAGTACGGAATAAAGATTGATTGCTTGTATATAGTCTTTGAGTGTTCAGGATGTTGTACCTCCATCTCAACGCGTGAAATGCAACATAATATATCAGAACATAATAATGCAGTAACATCAATTCAGTGTTTTCTCACTAAAATAATTTAATATTTGAGTATCGAGGAAGACATGATATGACATTCAAAGACTTTCAGGTGATCCTGCATGGTAGGTGCGGACAACGTGGAGGGGACACATTGGGAAGACAATATCACCTTTACATTTGTTGACTTCCCTTTCAGTTACAAACCTAATATTTACAAGCGTTACCATCCCTAAAGTATGAGTGGTTTCACTATCACATATCTGTACCTAAAATGTACAAGTGCAATTTACTACCAAATATTCAATTCAGGATAATACTTAATTGCCATATCATATAAAAGAATTAAATTCACATGAATGCATAAATGTGCAATGGTGAGTCACTGACAAATGTATTGCCAAACGTCTAAAATCTAGCTCAGTCTTCATTAAAGGTAAAGATTATTTGTTTAACGACATCCTTTACAGTAGATGATGTACTTTTACTGTAGTTTAAAGAAGCATCGTTTAGTTGAATGTTATGTGTTCATATGTCTGAATATTTAAATAATGTATTTTGGACCCCTTAACACCTCAGTGCTCTTCATTATCATTACAGATAAATCTATCAGCAGCATTTTCTGCGATGGTGACCTTCTTCTGTGATTCCCTTTGCTGTTTCAGCCACTGCTTCATTTCAGGAACTGTCTGCGGCAGTTCGTGTGTGTTCGTTTCTGGCAGAAATCGAACCAGGATAGCCACCACGATGCAGCATGAGCCGTACACAGTGCCAGGTGCCCAGGGATATTTGCGGTACTGTCAAATAAGATACATTTGTTAATTGTCAGGTGATTTGTACCTGGAATAATGCCATAATGTAACAGAAGTACTGCAGTGCTATTCACTGTCAGGATTGCGTATAAAGGGGTCAGGGGCCCTGACATGATAATGAGCGTAACCAGCCTGGCTGTGCCAGGATCACTTAAACCCTCATTTTTGCATTATGTTATTGTATCTTTATCTGTAATGACTATGATAAAGATAATAAATGCAAGCAAAACAAACTTTCCATATTCGTAATTCGTTTCTGGTAAAAGCTGAGTCAACTAAATATAAAAGTGGACAGTGAAAAAACCGAGTAACTAAAACGTTTGGTCCAAACAAGAGGAGTTAACATAAAATGAAAAAACGATTGATATATTTTTAAAGTATATATGTATACATTTGTAAGTGCACATGTTTGTATTTCGCCTATCGCAATGTAAAAAGGAATGGAACATGCGTTTGTAATTACTTGTTACTGTTTCTGTGAGTGAGTGAGTGAGTGAGTTTAGTTTTACGCCGCACTCAGCAATATTCAAGCTATATGGCGGCGGTCTGTAAAATAATCGACCCTGGACCAGGCAATCCAGTGATCAACAGCATGACCATCGATCTGCGCAATAAGGAACCGATGACAGCGAGCCTGACTACCCGATCCCGTTAGTCGCCTCTTACGACAAGCATGGGTTACTGAAGGTTCATTCTAACCGGACCTTCACGGGTACTGTTTCTGTAAATTATGATGTTGTATGTATAGTGTTGTATGTTGTATGTAATGTGTTAATAAAGTATCTGTTAGTCTAACATGAAATTCTGAAGTATACACACGTTCCTGTTGTTGACATTGTATAGGAAGGGTTACAATGCCTTGGGCTACCTGGTGATACCTCAATGCTTTGGTCTTGGATAAATATGTGTACTCGTTCTTTGACATTTCATGTTCAATAATCAATGATGAGTAGATATTACAAAATACATTCCAGGCAATCATGTGTTATGAGAAATACAGTTTTTGGTTAGAGAGCAAATGCACACATGTAGTGTAATAAAATAAAACAACTGTTAGTAGAAGTCTCACCAGCATCCTGGAAAAAGGAGCAAATAGTCCACCTACTCTTCCTGCGAGGGATCCAAGACCAAACCCAACATTCCTGAAAAATAAACAATCCTTCTTATGACCGAAAATTCTTCTGAAAAGAATTAATCTATAACTCATTTCGGGTGTATCACCTATTCCTAAGAGTGACCTTCATATAGACTTTCCTGACCTCTCAGTTCATAACTGTATCTGTCCATTGAATCATTATTTTCAAACAGAACGTAACAGGAAATCTACACTTGACGTTGTTTATCATGTCATGTTTGTTCAATAAAATAAAAGGGACACAAATCATAATGATAATGAATCCTGCTAAAGTGTCCATTGTACGATTCTGACTTTATCATAAGCAAGTTAGTTGTAGCTCTGAACAAACACGGGCACAAGTTATACAGTGGTTGACCAGTTTATAAAAGGTGTTTCAGAACGCGGACTTTGCAGCTTACTGTGGCTAAAAAACTCATTGTGCTGCTACCAACCTGTAGGTCAACCACAGACGACGTCTGCATTGTTGACAATAACAACTTTTGTCAGCTATTCAGATACGGACCAAAATATTAATTGGAGTTACAACTTTAAAATCATTATGCATGCTTTCGAAGCATATGCAAACACATTGGATAGGAACCTGTAAACTGTCTTTCAGAATGTTGTTAGTCGTATAAAAAGAAAACAGGGCTGGAATGAACACATTCTGTCCCAACCAGCTATCAACCGAAGTCTGGCGGCCTTGCAAGAAAAGCTTGTACTTGATCGCACTCACAAGGCCTCAATCTGCAAGACCATTTAAGTAAGCAAAACTACATATCAAGACAATAAGACTACAAGGCCAGTTTGTTAATTGACCAAGAAATTTGCTCAAACCATTTATCGGTACGATCAACCTTTACTTTGACTAGCATCTTAGACACATCTATTCCTCTTTCGTACAGGATTCCAAAGCTGTATAAAATCAGTACAATGAGAGATACATTGCCGGGTCCAGCATGTGTACCACAAAATCCCTATTCATAGGTTAACCATAATCATTAATACTATCAATGAATAGCTTTCTTGACATTCACTGAAAATATCTGAGACAAGTGGAATCAGCATTTAGTTTATTCTCAAAACTCAAGAATGTGCTTGAATGTTTACAATCTTAGAAACGGTTCTGTCAAAACATGATTTTCCAACATTGTACACACCGCCATCCCACATGACAAACTTGAAGAAAACACTTCACTCGTTCATCCGTTGGGCGTTTCTCAATAAACAGGGTGGGAAGTACTTAATAAGATATCGGGACATTGGGATAATGTTTCAAAACAAAAAGCAAATGTCATCTAAAGTTAACTGAGAAATACACAATATGTGAATTTCTGGACTTCCTCAGTGGTAACGTCTCTGTGACATTTGGGGGTAAAACATTAAGACAAGAAGCACGAATTCCAATGGGGACCAGTTGTCCTCCCTTCTCTGCAGATCTGTTTCTTAATGAATTTCTGACGGGTTGGCAACATCAAGACAAATTTGACCAAGAAGTTTAAATTTAACTACAAGTAAATCGACAATCTAATCTCGTTCAATAACCATGCATCCATCGTAAAGCTTTGAAACGTTTTATGACAAACGCACCAGAGACAACGATGATGTCTGCTGCATATCCCTATTGTGACTTTTGAGGCTTTTGCAAATGTTAATGACGGGTGCGCCAGTGGAGTACGATAAGCTCACTCGCGAACACCTGTTATCATCATTATTTTCACACCGATTCATGAACATAATCAGAATTGTACAATGGATTTGATTTCTTGTGGATATGGTAAAGGCTCTGTCCGTCTCATATGGATACCATTCGCGAAATCTGGGTAGAACGGACGTTTCCATTATCATTAATCTACCGCACGAAATATAGTTACAGGTCCAGAGGTAAGGCTTGTCGTTCCTACCGTATTGTAGTTGGAAACAGTTCTGGAGTATACAGATACAGCACATTAAATGAAGTCGTTGCTCCAAATTTTCCAATCAGCGACAATGTGCTGACAGCCACACTGAGGGTTGGTACCGCAACTGAAACATACTGCCAACATTAGGACATATCCTAATGGTACCATCGTAACAGTGAGAAAGGACGCGCGTGAATAGCTGACTCAACTCGATGTTGACAGCAGACTTCAATAAATGAGTAAAGGGGAATAGGTGTGGTGTCACGGCCTGATTTGAAATAGTCCATGACAAAGGAAACCAGGAAAGATATCCACTTTATGTTCATTCAAGAAAATGAACCTTTTAGTCAGTTAGCTCATTGAGGTGAAACCTTTTGTCAGTTAGCTGAGTGAGCTTTCTGATTATGGATACAAAACCTTGGCCTATGATGTAAGCTAGTAAAACAAAGCAACAGGGAGACTAACCCGTGAAATGGTTGAATATGACCGATGTTATCAGCGACACTGCTGCTATCAGATGACAGGCCAAACATGTTTTCTTCCTTCCGAATCTACACAGAAATATACAAAAGTTGAAACTTAACCAACCTCCCTCTTCATAACGATTGTAGATTACGACGAGGCTAACCTAGGTCAATAAGGGTTGTCATAAATCAACTGAACTATCGATGTATTATGAGTGTCCTGAGCCGATGGCAAGTAAACATATGATGGCTTTTCAAGTATGTTGAATATAAGAATATACAATTCCACATTATTTTGATGTAATAATGATGTATCCGGTGACATCCACTGGTACAAAACCGTTTGTATGAATACTTATAATGTAAGTTTGATCCAGTTAAGATCTGAATCATTCAACAAACCAATATTCCATATTTGAATGTATCATTACCTGTCGACTGTGAGCCAGAAGGCGACAGCACTAAACACTTCTGTGATAGCACTCAGACCAAAGGCGATGTATTTGTCACTATGAAACTGTGTGGCGTTGAGATTTAGTCCGTGGTATGTTAAACTGTCTGTCATCCTTATCATAAAACAAAATTCATAAACGAATGATATTATAACTACAAGGTAAATAGATGCTTGGCAAAATTGTATAATAAATTCTGCCTGATTATATTTTCTTACCACAAATATAACTATTTACAAAACATTCGAAACGTTTTCAAGTTTTAAATTCAAGTATTAAATACGACCAAATACCTGTAGTAATTTTACTTAATACTAGCATGAATATGCATGTGTATCTATTTACCATATAAAACACAGGATTGCTGATAAACTGAGTATCTGTCTGTCTTTGAATATCTGCAGGAGTTGTCTTTCTTTTTTTCTCTCAGTTTTTGTAACACCCGACCTGTGTTCATTTTGGTCCTTGTGTGTGCCCGACGCTAAGAGAGGACTTTGATCATGAAGGTTTGGTTCTTTCACTTTTTCTCTGAACAGTGTTATGATATTGTTTTCATCTTTATGATTCATATGGCTAGCCTTCTTCAAATTCCGTTCTATGATACTGTATTTCTTCTTTGTTGCCAACCATCTTGAAGATTCGTCCATTACCCTTTAAAGAGGTTAACAGTCAATGGTCACATTTATAATCATCCACATGCCCACAATTATCACGCTGTTACTTCCCTTAGTAGAAAAGAAACTAGCAGCGCCTATGCTCCGAGAAAGTGCCGGTGAAAAATAGACCATGAATGCTTATTGCCATTTAGAAAGTGGTCAAATGTAACATATGTTATATTTTGGATTGCATGCCAATTTACACAGAGGTCTAGACTACCAATTGCCCCACTTCCATTTTTTGTGGAAGGCACGATGGCTGGGTGACTTGGACGGCTGACTTTGTGTTCTGGCGATTAGGTGCCTGACTTAGAAAGTGTAATCCCAAATATGTTACAAACAGACCTAGTTCCTCATTCGAAGGCAAAATCGATTTCCGTTGGGTGTGCAGAAACAATGTATACCTGTCCTGCGCCTGTCTGTTGATATCATACCAGATTACCTACAAAGTGAAAAGGGATGGTTCGATATCTTGCTCCCAACTTCAGCATACTAAAGAATCTGTCATGCACCGAACTGGTCATGTTATTGTATAGTACACATCCTATTTCTTCCTGTTCGTTGACAACGAATGTTTTAATTAATTATAAACTCACCACGGTACAAATATATAGAAGCCTGATGTGAGGCCCGCTACCAACTGGTGATACCTCCAGTTGAGATCTCTCATCAGGTAGGCCGCCACAGCGTAGATTACAACCGACAGTGACCAAATCAGCGTGCTTATAATCCCAAACTTGGATCTGTGCCTGGTTGGGATGATTTCTAGACCGATCGTTGTTGACGTCAAACTAACACCCTGAAGTGAAGATCATGTCACATATAATCTGCAAGTTTGAACACAAAGGGTTTGAGAAATGAAAATACGAATACCTACAAAGAGGCGAGGTTCCCTTTGATCTGCCCCACATATAGCTCTGCACCCATCAGTGGTGGTGTTTTTTTCGATCCTTTCCCAAACATTAAACTGATAGGCCATGATACAACTGACATATACTTCCTACCTGTTCGAATCCCAGTTCTTTCGCATTAGGTTTCTGGGTTTGTCAGTACCATAGCCATGCTCGTGGTTTTGACCAAAATAGAATCACTTTGACTTTCTTCCCACACCGAGCTGACACACGGTGAGATTTACTTAATTAAGCTTTGCGACTTAGGATAGATACAGTTATGTACCAAGCAGGTGGAAGCTACACTAGTTGTTGATTGTACAACGTTCCCAGGTTACAAATAAACGTCTTTGTCTCGTCACATTAACAGTCTCTCTTGCTCGACTCCTGTAACAGGTATCAGTTTAAGCCAAACCAGATGTGTTTTGTGTATTATGCCAGTTCCATTCTTAAAGCGCTGAACGAAACTGTCCTTTTTGTGTTTTCTTGTTTTCAATACATGATCTTACAGAAAAAAACCATGCAGCTGCACCATTGTACTGTGGGTGCACACCAACATACAACTTTGTAAAACTTACCGGAGGTGTTTAACTTTTTTTTAGGTGTATATTTTATTTAATGATTAAAACCCATGATTATATGAATGAAGCATAATCCCACTTGTTATTTCAACAAGTGAATGAACTAACAATAACACATTAACAAAGAATAATAGTCGCCATATTCACAGCAATTATATGGCATTGCGTATATACACTACCGTCAGCGTTGCCCCCTGTATAACCTTCATGACGGCAAAACCAGCATATGTTGGTACAAATGACATGGCAGTGCTGGTTGCAAGGAAACAAAGTCCAGACAGTGTGAGGGACAACTTGCGTCCATATGTGTCCGATAACGATGTGAACAAGACCGAGCCAATACCCATACCAAACATTAAGAGGGTCTGAAGAAGGTCCCCAAGACTTTCAGTTTCACAGACGATGTCCCACTGAAATCAAACGGTAAAATCCATTTCTGTAGATACAAAACTGTTCTCTTTATACATATACAAATGTTTCAGAAAAAGCAGAAATGAGCAGAAAAAACTGACAGTGTTCTAGTTCTTGAGAAAAACAAAGACGAACATGCTCTGTGTTGTGAAATACAGAAAGAGAGAAGAGAGTGTTTGGTTGGACTTCCTAAGGACATGATTTAATTGTTATGATTTCAAAACAAGAGCATTTGGTTTAACTTAAGCTAAACTTAAACTTCATGTTTCTTCAGATACAAAACTGTTCTGTTTAGCAATATACATATGTGTTCCACAGAGAGTGTTCCTGTTTGTAACACAAAACAAAAAAAGACAGAGACTGATATACTCTGTGTTGTGAAATAATGTGCATTGTGAATACAGTAGAGAGAAGTGTTTGATTAGACCTTGGAAGGACACCATTGAATTGTTCTGATTTCAAGACAAGAGAATTTGGCTTAGAAGTATATCTAAAGGTATGTATATCGTTCATCTGATATCTTTAAATCGTAGATAGTTCCTTCTTTCAAAATATATATATGTTTCGTGTTACCTCAGAAACGAGTGAGAGTTCCCGCGGTTGTTCGTACTGACGACCTTCTATACACGTAAGTTCTTCCGAATGTCCAGATACGGTTGACGTAATGCTGATTCCACATTCATGGTATGTTATGTTCAAGTCAGAGATGTCTGCTTGAAACCCGAGACTCTCAAATCCAGATGTTTCATTCTTCAGAACGTTACAGTGGCTCGGGACATGAATTCCTGAGGGAAAATGATACCCTTTACATGACGTTATGTGTGGGAATTTCACTGGGATATCTAGACTACAACTCGAAAAACGTCAGGACCTCCCTCCTTGCTATTTGAAACTCGTTCACCCTTATCTATCGCTTAGAAACCATAACATATACCTTGAAAGACAATCTCGGCATGTTAGAAAGTGGTATTCATAATATTGGAGGATATTTTATGGCTTGTATTATTGACAAAAGTGGCATGAAACCTAATCATGGATTGCTGTGGCTCGTCAGGTGGCTCCAAATGTACGCTATGTAGCCAACAGAAATTCATATCTCGAGAATACAATGACATGTATAGCCGCAACGTGCCGACCCATTATGCCTCCACAGAGACATGTGTCTCAGAGGCTTTCAGTCACGCCCCTCCAAACACCATTTGAAACAGTCATGACGTTGAAGATCCGAAGGCATATCACGTTTGACCTTAAATCTGCTGATTTGAACAATATTTTCTTAACGTTCGTGATGACACTTGTGTTTGGGGCATCGAACTCTTCTTCATACAAGCATTTGCTGCAGAGGGTTGTCGCCGTGTACACACAAATAAAATACTTGAAGTCCGTGAGATATGGAATCCCCAACTATGTATCTACTGAAAGAGTGTTAATAGGCGTACACCGCTACCTTCTGTATAGTAATGTGAAGATGCGATGCTCGGTTTCCAAACATGAAAAGAGTTCTATTTTGTCTTGATCATATGAAGCTATGGTCCTATAAATCATATTGACAAAATATAAAAAGAATCAAATTCCGCAAACAACCTAAGATAATATGGATGTTAACACATATTTATATTTAAATGAATCAATCGTAATACTTTGACAGTTTAGACGGATATGTCCGATGTGGTTGAAAGACCTGAACTATTTGAGCTCTGTGTTCTGCTTATAAATGATCTTGGCCAGTGACTGATAGAATGAACAACGAACCATAGCGTTGAGGTAAGGTTACTATGAGCTGGATGTTTCCATTGGTAATCTCGTGAATGAATGTTTGGATTTGAACCAGAGAAAGAGTTAGTTAAAATAATCGAAGAAACGCTACCAAGATGTTGTTCAAATTGCACGAATTTTGCAAGAAGCATGACATATTCGGGAAAAATGGCCGACGATGTACACTTTAAAAGGCCAGACAACCAGACGTTTATCATTTCCACACAGTCTTTGGACACCCGACCTCCATTTCTAACGCCAAAACACAAACGTCGAGACGTCTCCAGTGGAGCAGACCATATCTTTCTCGAGCTGTACAGAAGTATCTTTATCAAAAACAATGTTAATGTGTTACCCTCTTTCCACTCATTTGTCACCCTTTGAACATGTCGGGGATGAAATGGGGCGACCTTTCCCGAATCCCCCACTGCATGAACTCCGCCAAATTGGAGTGATCTTGCCCTGGACAGTCATTGGGCTTTAGTGGCCTCTTTGAGGCGAAGGTGCCAGGCCTGCCTCAATGCACAAGGTGACTACTCTTGCTACTGACGGTGTGAACCTGTGTAAACCCCCTTGTTTTATGGCTCCCGTGCATATGCCAGGTGCTCTGTTCTTAGTTTAACTTCTTACATTCAACTCTGACTCTGTTTGTTGTTTGTGTGTCACAACAACTTTTGAGTATAATCTTGGAGCAATTTATGTTTGTAAAACAATGGTGGGTAGATAAATAATCTACAAGCCATTTATGTTCTAAATACAAATATATGGATAAGAGTTATGCCGTGAATCGGTGTGCGTTAACCAGTGGTTGGCGTCGGGATACAGCTAGATTCTTTCTTGATTGCGGTGTGATGTGTACCGAACTTCGTCAATGTGCATTTGAACATAATGAGATAATTTCCCTAAAACATATCATTGAATAGTTTGAAATAAGTATGGTGATTCGTTAAACTGAGACTTACCTATGAATATGATACTCATCGCATTGAATGCGATTGGCAGTAACATTAGTGAGGCAAAAAAGACTTGAATCATTTGATATCTTCCCCTCCATCCTAATGCGTCAAAGATGCTGTCAAAATTAGCTTCCTTCGTGGACGTCATCCTCTTGGGTACTGATCCTCAGCCTGGCCTGATAAGGTTTTGCTAAATATATCAAAGTCGTAACGATTACAACTGCAAAGGAGTGGAAGTCGTATTAACCTGTGATCAATTGGTTGTCACTATAGATAGTTTGCTCATCACTCTGTTATTGGGCTAGTAGGTCTAATGTCACCCAAGATATAAAAAATAACAAACAGGGGGACGCTCGTATTCAAACCAACTGCCAGTGGATCAGGACAAGGGACGCAACTGGTGCACAGGTGCCTCTGCTTCTAATGGATAAGTAGGAATTACCAAGTGCGTGCTTCCTGTTCTACAAGGGTGTCAGATAGACGTGCGTCTGAATAGGAGTCCCACGTGTCATCTGGCGCATGCTTGTCAGTTGTACCCAGCACAGAATGTCATTTGTAAACCTTTTGCATCAATGAATGAATGGAAGTTATATACCAATACAATTTAAAAACATAGATGTTAACACGCACTTTAATACAACAAGACAGCATGCTCCATTCTACGTTGTTACCCAAAATGTACTGATTTGATTCCAGATGACAGTTTTTCTCAAACACCTGACCATCATATATGTGACTCTGTACCGTGAGTCTGTTTGAGTTTTGGCAGAATATGTGTGTGTGTGTGTGTGTGTGTGTGTGTGTGTGTTATATACATATGCACACAAACATATATGCATACATACACACACATATATGCACCTATATCATATATATATATATATTTGTATATTTATATATATATATACTACACACAGAACCACAAAGGAAACGTCGCCTTTCAATACCACATACAAAATGTTGTTCATACTTGTTGTGTATGTGGTGTTTTTTTATTATGATTGTACCGTTTTGTTAACATGTTTTTCAATCCAAATTGACAGTTATTACCAACATCAGTGTGTTTCCTGATATAAAAGCATATCGACCAAACGCACCTGAAAAGGAAGACGTGGTAAAAGGTTCCGTATGACAATCGTGAAAATGAAAATTCACGCGCATTTCGTGACTACCCTACTAATGAAAGCGAGTCACCTGAAATCGTTTCGTAGAGTATGGACCCAAGTGCCTATGGCCTTCATCAACCGGCTAATTCATTCCATGTACAAACGATGCAACGCTTTCATAGATGCCCTTGGAGGCCCATTTGGGTATCTTAATGGTACCATTTTTTGGGATTTTGTTTGTGTGAACTCTAAATGTGATTCTCGAAAATGTGTTAACCATAATTGTCAAGTTTGAATTTAATCCTCTGTTTTGATTGTTAATTAGAGTGAATTAAAGTGAGTGCTTTAAGAAACTCTATCGGTGCGACGTGGGTTTTTTTCGGTTCAGCATATAAATGTGTTGTGTTAGGTATTAATATTTCATATTTCTGATAAGAATGTTCTTTATTTCTACATTTAGTCACTGAGACGTAAATATTTACGGTTTTGATTTAAGTTGATTTTAGACAGACGAATGCACTTCATAATCTGAATTCCATTAATAAATCTCAATACGAGGGTCATGACATTTAATTAACATTTAATTAGTATGGACTAACCAGGAAAAATCGGATCTACCAATATGCAGTCTTTCATCTTCCTTCTGCGTAGCCATGTTCATCAACTCCCAATGCCGAGAAAGACAGCTGCAGATATAGCTTTACATCTTCCATTCAAAGAGAAATAATATGATACATTTTCAACTCAAATGGTTTTCAAACTCAATAATTAGAAAAAATAGATCACGTTTTTACATGGAAGCTAGACAAGCAGGTTGACATATTGATGTGTGCTCTTAAAAGTTACAAAACGAAGAGTTGTGGTTCCTTCAAACCTTTTAGAAACCTAAAGTATCATGAATGCGATATTTCAATGATTTAAACATGGACTGGATAGCACTGTAAATCTCGATGAATCAGTATCAATATATTACTGTCGAAATCAAAGACATTTTGTGAACACCACCACATGTGATGATAGATTATTACAGTCACAGTTTTATGATTTGTGTATTCACACACGCACGCACATGAAGTCAGTACATTATGGTTAATGATTAGCTGCGTACTGGACCACTAATATTCTGTTGTTTAAAGCTTTCTTTCGGTCCATCCTGACACGCAATTACGCTGTATACAGGTTGAAACGTATACGACATACAGAGCCAGACACAACATATACACGCTGTGACACAACACGTTTCTTCTCATGAAAGTAAAAACATCCGTTTTAGGAAGGAACGTACATGATTCGCCAAATCTTAAGGCAGCGGATAAACAATTCCATCAAATTTAGTGTAATGTTTGACGGTAAAATAGAATATAATAGAGGGTTTGGTAACGTTGAAACACGTTGCATTTGACATATTTAAACCGTGTTTCTGTACATTAGTATAGATCTGTGTTCTAAAACAAACGTAGTAGTAAAAGATGGCAGATAAAACGTTTGGTGAACGATGATTCTTGGATGTAACCCGAGTTATTCAATGTGAGTGAGTGAGTTTAGTTTTTCGCCGCACTCAACAATTTTCCAGCTATATGGCGGAGGTCTGTAAATAATCGAGTCTGGGCCAGACAATCCAGTGATCAACAGCATGAATATCGATCTGCGCAATTGGGAACCGATGACATGTGTCAACCAAGTCAGCGAGCCTGACCACCCGATCCCGTTAGTCGCCTCTTACGACAAGCATGGGTTGCTGAAGATCAATATTCTAACCTGGACCTTCACGGGTCCCGAGTTATTCAAAGCGACAATAGGCCCTCGGTATGAGTGACTTGAGCGTGAACACATCAGAAGTTATATTCGCCTAAATATCTACCACTTCAAGGACAGATGAGTATGTTTCCAATAGCGTCTATAGGGACGCTCACTTTAACTAGCTGTGATCGCGTGATCACATATGGCAATTTGGTGTCTTTCACGTCGCTAGTCTGTCGATTCCTGGCTGCCATAGGTAGTGTCGATTCTGCTCACAAAAAGTCAACATGCAGATTTAGATCTGTTGTGTGCAGACCGTTATACTGGCAGTCAAAGCCCCCGAGTGATGTGGAGTTGATCTTGATGACGCATCTCGAATGGCCATAGTGTCTGCCATACACAGGCTCCATGTCGCCATTAGATTAGGTGCTCCACTCACACGCTGTGGATGTGCTCACTCGCAGCTTTTAAACAAAATTAGCTGAGATCAGCCATCAAATCAGAAACAGGCAATGCCATCACAGTTCTGTATTTTTTAATGATAGTTCTTCAGCAAGGGGTTGTGACTCCTCTGTGATGTATGCAGACCCTCTTCGGGGTCGAGATCTTTTCTTAGAGCCTTTGCTAGCTCCTTTACCCGATGGTTGGTGAGCTGCCGGTTGGTCCACTGCGGAAGGTTGGGCGACAACGCCTTGTCGTGGAATGTTGCCAATTATTACGTTGAGATAGAGGACGAGATCGGAGCTAGGTCCCGCTGGAGTTACATCAAGCTGGAACATAACAAAGCGTGTTCACATTCTATAAGTTTATCAAACGGGTGTAGAAATTCTGGAAAATACATGAAAACGAACGGAAACAAATTACGATTTACCGATATAGTCCGTAGGGTAACGGCACATCGAATGCACAGCAGAGTTTTGGGCGGTGGGTTCGAATCCCTCCTGATATTGTAAGTATGCCAACACCTTTCTCTTGCTCTCGGGTCTGAAGAAAACATGTGGTAGATATAGAAGACCTGCTTCAGTTAAAACTTACCATCAAGAAGTATCTGACATCGATGATTTTGCATCCCCTGAGGAACGACGGCGTCAAAGGTGGAACCACCAGCCGCTCGGCATTCCAGTAGTCAGTGTCGCCCTGTTTGATCTCGCCATGCTTCAGCTTGGCATAATCATGTGTTTTAGGTTTTGTCTTGGTGGTAGCATGATATAACACCTCCTGAAACAGGACAAGCGGACACTGGAGCCTTAATATAGTGCTTTCAATTTTAAACAACACACCTTTGAACACTTGCAGTGGTTAACTTACTATTCACTTCAGTTTACACTTCCGCTCGAATATTGTTCCGAACGACCAAATACTGTGATGGAAAACTTTGAAGTAACAATTCAGAAACGATTGTATTGATCATGGTTGTGTTTACCATGTGTATTCTACAAGTATCATGGTTGTGTTTACCATGTGTATTCTACAAGTATCATGGTTGTGTTTACCATGTGTATTCTACAAGTATCATGGTTGTGTTTACCATGTGTATTCTACAAGTATCATGGTTGTGTTTACCATGTGTATTCTACAAGTCTATGTAGGCCAACTGCCTTTATGTGTTGCCAATCTGTTTCACCGTTAATGTTTGTGGGTGTTGTTAGACATCGTTAATGAACGACTGCGACAATTGAATAAATAAACCCACAGTCATAAAACAGCTCTCTATCTCTCTCTCGTTGAGTGTACGGTTCCCTCTCTGTAATATACATGCGTTCATAATACCTGCATCAGGACCACTTTGGATTTCTTGACTCTCTTGTTGGACAGATTTTCTATTTCTGCATTGATGATTATTTCCTCCCCGATAACATATCCTTGTCTGTCGATGGAAAACGTGGCCGAGATTGGTCCTGATGTGCAGCACAGGCAGCATAATGTCTTTGACTTGCTTCTTCGGTTAGGTTTCTGAAGCAATCCGTGAGTGAGTGAGGGGGCTAGTGAGTGAGAGAGTGAGTGAGTGGCTGAGTAGCTGAGTAAGTGAACGGGCTAGTGGGTGAGTATGTGGGTGGGTGGTAGGTAAGCGAGTAAGTTTGGTTGAACATCTCTTTGAACAGTATTTCAGATATATCATTACAAGTAAGCTTGGTGTGGAGAAAAGAACGAAGTGATGCCGTTCTTGAAAGGCATTTACAAGTTGGACAAACATGTGTAAACTCTGCGCACTGACTCAGTATTCAAGTGATGAAGGGGAGCAAGAATTAGCTCTGAAACGTCCTGTAAAATATATAAAGAAGTTGATATCCATAAAACGTGTCATATATTCAAGAAGTGATGCAGTGTTTCGACAGTCAACACTTTGTGAAAGCCACATGACGATGTTGGTACAGACAAATCGAAAACACAGCATGACCGATTATACTTAGCATAATAAGGGGCGCACCTCTGCATACAAGAAAACAAGCCCAAACCCATCTCCATACAACAAATACTAAAGTTTATACCAGAACTGTAATGAACTGCTTTTGGATTATCAACACCATGTCAATATTGGCGTCTTTACACGGTCGAGTGTCAGTTCAAACCTTCTTTGATAAATGAAGCTGGGTATACCATTGCTTTCTGGTGACAAATGGCGAAATGCATAATCCTTCAAACAATGAAAACACAATACAATGTATTTCTAAAATTTGTACTTTCTATAGGTACAATGCCCCAAACAATTTATGATATATAAATAAAACCAGACTCTATTGTACGATTCCCTATAGATCATGAATCACTTATCTTTATTATATTACGAATCCTTGTTCATTGAAATAGTGAGTGCGTATGGTTTTATGCCGCTTTTAGCAATATTCCAGCAATATCACGGCGGGGGACGCCAGGAATGGGCTTCACACATTGTACCCATGTGGGGAATCGAACCCGGGTCTTCGGCGTGACGAGCGAACGCTTTAACCAGTAGGCTACCCCACCGCCCCTTCATTGACATAGACCAAACGAGGTGGTTTCACCTGATGTTCTAACTCTAGTTCGTGCATCAACAAAGTCAAAGGGTATTAGCAATTTCCCAGTCATTATACAACAGCAGCAGACCATTGGCAACCCTGAAGGTGCAGTTAAACCTCTTGACCAACATTGCCCTGGTCAATCGGGGCAGAAACAGATCCCCAATAAGGCCTAAATATCTTATCCAAACTATATCTTATATCAAAAATGATATAGGGAAGACCAACATTTTACATTGCTTTCATCGTTAAATCCAGCGTTCATTTTTGACACATTGTACTGAACCTCTGAAGACAGATGTGTCTCTCTATGTATGGTTATCACGTGCAGTGACTAATGCGCCATTAATCACGGAATATAACTATGCTTTAAGTTTGTCGTGTTGGATTGTTGTGTGTAAAGTTGAATATTCAAATGTTTCCATAGACCAAAACGTTTCTTTTCTGAGATTGCAAATCTTCAAGCAAATCTTTCGAGTTTTTAGAGAATTCACATTGTAATTATTCCACCAGTCTCAGGTAATTTCCTTTCTTAATTGTATAATGGTTATGGTTAACCTTTGAGGCGGGGAGTTTACATCATATATCAGCAGTATGTCTCTCTTCGGCATATTTTCATGTAATGTTTTGTTCAGTAATATAACAATGAAATAAATGCATGCCGCAAAATATGAACCAAGGTCATGTGAAGAATCAACGCGAACGGATCCAAATGTATACTGATGTATGAAAAGTTAGGAAGTTACTAGTTGCTTTTAATCAATGGTCACAGTTCTTACCTGGGTTACGGACGGGGTTCGTGTGGCAACTGCACCATTCAGATCTTGTGCGTAAGCTACTTTGTGCATGTATAAGATATGCTTTGAGAAATCATATACTGCTCCTGAAAGAGTAACATGTCCACAAGCCCGTCTAGTTCAAACACACATTTGGAAAAGAGGAATAGGTGACGATTACACTTCAGGATGTATATCATTACAATCGAAGTAGATGAGAGTGAGTAACTGCAACACGCCTTGAGAGGTATTCCAGTTATATACCACCGTGTAATCCAATGGTAGCGAAGCCCGACGTGATGCAGGTCCGAGACGGTCAGCACCATGATGACGCCCATCAGCACTTATGGGCTAGCAAACGTAATCATAATCGATGCGTACCAGGATTCTTGCGTGCCCAACGGACGCACAGTGGAGACATTCATTGAGACCGTAGAGGACCCAAAACAAGAGCATGGATGAACGGAGGTGTATTTGGATGTGGTGGAGATGGGTGAGCTGGGGTTGAACATTTCGGGGGTGAGCTGGGGTTGAACATTGCGGTCAGGATTATGTCACTCATGTCGCGATGGACATGCAGCGAGTCGCCTTAGATGGCAGAGGTTAATGCTGTCAGGGACCCGTGAAGATCCGGGTTAGAATTGATCTTCAGCAACCCATGCTTGTAGTAAGAGGCGGCTAACGGGATCCGGTGGTCAGGCTCGCTGACTTGGCCGACACATGTCATCGTATCCAAACTGCGTAGATCGATGCCCATGATGTTGATCACTTTATTGTCTGACCCAGACTTGATTATTTACAGACTGCTGTCATACAGCAGGAATATTGCTGAGTGCGGCGTTAAACAAGAAACACATGATACAAACTAGTAGTGTCAGGTGAGGTGAGGTGAAATTGGGTTTTACGTCGTGCTGGAGAATATTTCGCTCATATGACGACGTGCATGCGTGTGTATGTGTATGTGCGGCTGCTTGTACTAGCCCAGACTGAAGCTGGTTTTATAGTGCTAGCCCACTGAGATACCATGCCGCAGTGAAGCATGAATACCCCACTCAGACATAGTATACTGACTCCGAGCCGACCAGTCCTTGTTGTACCCATTAATGCCGAACGCCAGACAGGGACCAACAAGTACCATATTTTAACGTCTTTTGGTATGACGCGGTCGGGGATCGAACCCGCGACCTTCCTCTCTCCGGGCGGACGCTCTAACCACTACACCACGGAGGCGGTCAGTACTGTCAGGGGATGTAACTGGCATCGTGGGCATGGGGAGATTCAGATCAATACCAATACCTGAGACATTCTGCAGTATCAAGGCTCTCCTTACCTTAGCTCTGGGTTCGCGATTTAGATCCAGGCGATTACGGACTATAAATGACGTCTCGGCTTCGTGGTTAAATTTCCATGGTTTATCAATGGTGCATTTAGCATCATATCCTACAAATCCATATGCTCCTGCAAATGAAGACGGGAGTCTAGATGGAAGTTTGTATGAAAACGGGTAAGTGTGTCGTCCAGCAGGTAGATTGATGTCGTGCCCTGGCTCATCTTTCCCTAAATTGGAAAGAAACCAAAACATACCACATGCAGCTGTGAAGATTATGTGAACATTGTTACACAAACCGTCATTTTTTAATTTTTTTTTACAAAAACCTAAATGAACCCATAGCTCATCTCATCTAAAGTCTGTATTTGGTCCACAGACAGTTAACATGTTGAAGCAATTATCCATAAACCAATTCCCGTACGTTCCTCCCATCTCCTTCCGGTAATGAAAGAAATCAGTAAGTACACTGAATCATGCTGTGGTCTTGTTTGAATGGCTATGAAACGTGATCTGGGTTCAATAACTGAATTTAATCTTCACCTTCAATACACTTTTCGGGTTTTTCACTGGTTTTCACTGGTTTCCACAAAACAGTCAGTTGGAATCCTTTATATACAGCGTGGCTGAGATACGGACCAAATCGACCATGATGTTGCTACCCTAAAGACGCTTGTCACATGAGTAACGATTACTGGCAACCTATTCCTATGGATACAGTTGATCTTTCCTTGAAAAGGCTATAAGGCAAAAGATTTACAAGTGTCCAATGCTTGTCTTAATATAAGGTCCTGGAGCAGTGATGACCAAGGGGTCTAAAACACCACAACTGGGATAGTGGGTTCAAATCCCGATTCGACTGTATTTGGTTTGTCTGCAACATACCAGGCTTCGTGCTCGGGCTTCATGAAAGTGCACGTGGTAAAGACCTGCCTAACTGTGGACGTTCCACCAAGCTGACCCGCCGTGAAATAACCCGAATACTGTTCAAACCTACTCACTGACAAGACTCAACAAAGGCCTGGGTGGTGCGATGTGTAATCGTTCTTCATGCATGGAATAGACACGATTATTTAGATGTCGTCTTCAAAATGCTTAATGCGGCACTAAAGGTTACTTACTCTAAAATTACCCTTAAACCGTATTTTTAAGCCAATATCATGTTGCTGTCTACTGGTGGCTATTATATGATGTGATTCTGCATTGCTTTGGATTACCCCAACAATATCAGTGCAGAGGACCCCTGAACCCAGGCCCTGGTGACGAGCGGACGCTATAGCAACACCTCCCCCCAATCCACAAGTGCTATGAAGACAACAATATAAAGATATCGAGTTGGAAAGGCGATATCCCCATCCCCACGCCCAAACAGGAACTTAACCCATAGCAACATTATCTTTACTGGATGAATACATGTACCTGTTGTTCTGAACTGCCAAAGGTTATATTCCTCCAATAGGAACTTAACCCATAGGAACATTATCTTTATTGGATAAATACATCTACCTATTGCTCAGAACTGGAAAGGTGATATCCCAACAGGAATTCGAACTTAACCCATAGCAACATTATCTTTACTGGATGAATACATGTACCTGTTGTTCTGAACTGCCAAAGGTTATATTCCTCCAATAGGAACTTAACCCATAGGAACATTATCTTTATTGGATAAATACATCTACCTATTGCTCAGAACTGGAAAGGTGATATCCCAACAGGAATTCGAACTTAACCCATAGCAACATTATCTTTACTGGATGAATACATGTACCTGTTGTTCTGAACTGGAAAGGTTAGCTGCTAATACGTACATCTTCCCGCCAACAGGAAACTGATGTAGAAGTATTCTTCCTCTGCCGAAAAGTGGTCAGTACGTATCGTCCTGGAGCCAGATGACCGTTCCTCTGTCCAGTGGACACGTGCCATTCCCTTAAACCGGAGGTGCATTCCTGATACAAAAAGGTCTTCTATAACTTTAAATAATCATACTGTACCATGTAACCTCAGTTGATGAGGAGTTGAGACAGTTATCTTTATCATACATAGTGTTTGTTGGTAGTTTAAAGCCGCAGCTGCACTATTTCCGGTAAATGAGGGCGACCAGTAGATAATTGTCTGGGCTAGACAATCCAATGATTGACACCACGAGCGTCAACCCAGGCCTTCGGAATATATGACACGCTGTGAAACAAGTCACTGATCCTGACCACACAATTCATTAAATTGTCTTTGTGTATATATCGAGCAGGACCGTAATTATACTGGTTTACATAAACACGAAGAACTTAGTTATGCACCCCCTGACATATCTCACGGTTGCATGAGCCCCGATCTTAACCCTTTGGAGCATATCTGGGACATGCTTGGTCGTCGTGTGCAAAGGGATCCTCCTGTACAGAACCTGGCCCAATTGGAAGCTGCTTTACACGAGGAATGGCGTGGACTGCCCCTTCAGAGGATCAGGAGGCTGACAGGGGGTATGATGAGGAGCGTGCTGGCTGTTATACAGTCACGTGGAGGTTACACCTGGTAATGACCTTGAATCGTGTAAGACACGAAAAATAACATTTTGAATGTTCACATTCACCAATAAATTCAACATGAAATATTCCAGGGCCATACTAGTACAGACATGGTTTTGCATGAAAATCAGTGTTTGTTTTTTAAAATGAGCAATTATCATCATAAAATCAACGTGGATTCCAATCATTTTGTCGTTTTTAATGAGTCAAAGGATCATACCACAGGCCCCCACTGCGGGTCAGAAAATCGATAAACTAGGCCCCGGTTTAGTATCAACACCCCCTACTATATAATACATAAAGGTTCATCACAGAAATACGGTGACATGATCGAAAACCGGACAATTACGCACATGTCAATGAATATTTCGTATTTTAAAGGTCTCACAAGTATCAAAAGCTTTCGTCCATATCTCCGATGTATGTAGGAGGCATATACATGCGCTTTCCGTGGGGATGCATTTGATGGGTTTTATTAAATCGCCAAAGACCGAGTTGCTGTGCCGGAAGTATACAAAGTATATAAAATCTATCATTGCAAAAATGCAGGAGGTGCTTAATTAAGTCCTTCGTGTATATATTACGCTACCCGGGCTGTTTGTATGTGAATAAAAGGCATCTGAGGGAAGGAACACGTCAGATGCTAGTGGAGATTCTGCGAACGTCCAGACTGTCCCAGACTGCCTCAGGTCTATGTTAAAGTATAGGTCGTAGCGGTACGGTATCTTTTTTGAAACAGAACCCTGTTCTTGAAGCGAATGATAACTATGGTGTCCATCCATAACATTTGACACAGGTATAGTGTGGTACGAAATACCTTTATATCTGGTTATTTCTGTATGTCATCTCACTATATTTCCTGTTAAGCACTGTAACCCGGTGTTTCCCAAAGAACCACCGTCGAAGGTTTAGGTTAAATGTGTCTGTTGTAACCTAGTCATCACATTTGTTGGGGTTATTGGATATATAATATCCGCGTTGTGTTATACCCTATCCGGGTTATAACGAAATGTGTCTGTTGTAACTTAGTCATCACATATGTTGGGGTTTTTGGAGATATTATATCCGCATTGTGTTATACCCTACCCGTGTTATAACGAAATGTGTCTGTTGTAACCTAGTCATCACATTTGTTGGAGTTATTGGAGATATAATATCCGCATTGTGTTATACCCTACCCGTGTTATAACGAAATGTGTCTGTTGTAACCTAGTCATCACATTTCTTGGGGTAATTGGAGATATAATATCCGCATTGTGTTATACCCTACCCGTGTTATAACGAAATGTGTCTGTTGTAACCTAGTCATCACATTTGTTGGAGTTATTGGAGATATAATATCCGCATTGTGTTATACCCTACCCGTGTTATAACGAAATGTGTCTGTTGTAACCTAGTCATCACATTTGTTGGGGTTATTGGAGATATAATATCCGCATTGTGTTATACCCTTGTTCTTGGAGATATAATATTCGCATTGTGTTATACCCTACCCGTGTTATAACGAAATGTGTGTGTTGTAACTTAGCCATCACATATGTTGGGGTTATTGGAGATATAATATCGCATTGTGTTATACCCTACCCGTGTTATAACGAAATGTGTCTGTTGTAGGGCTGGGACGAGTACTCGGGTACTCGAAGCCGGGTCGGGTACAGCTGGAATCGAGTCCTATTTCTTGGAATCGAGTACCCGGAAAGGGAGAGAACTCTGTAATGACTAGGGCAGATAATAACTTGTCTTTTTCACAATTGACGTAACACACAATTACATCATTGGTATTGTCCTATAAATGAAGGTTATTATTAACGACTGTAATTTATCTGCGCAGTGAGTAGTGAGAGAGTTTATTCGCATAATGGCCTCATGGCCCAGAGTACAGAAAATACATAATTCTTTGCTTGTGCGCATTCGATACATATACATAAATATACTACATCAATAAATAGCAGTCAAACAGGTAGATTTCTCTTCAGATAGATTGCTAGACTTTTAATAACATTCATATTTTTTTGTGCATAACAACTGCTTAAACTTAAAGACAGATGGATGTATATGATAATACCCAGGCACAAACTTCATCCGACTTGTATGGTAATAAGGACATACTAATAAAAAGTGGTATCCGTCTTCTACGACATCTACATGACACTTGATACATATTGCTATAGTATTATCGACATTGTCTTTATTGAAATGCAACTGTTGGACACCCAATTTGTGCGGTAAGCAACGAAATTAACATAAAATACGCATCAAGTCTCTATTAGTGTACAACGCAGTTATATAAACTTCTGTTTCCAAAATAAACTTTAAGAAAAGAACTACTACCAATATCACTGCTCCAGGTTTGGAAACAGACATCCTTGCAGCGTTGCTGAAACGTTGTCATAAATACATCTACGTCGCCAGAGTTTTGTGTAATCCACACAAAAGAACATCCAAATTAAAACAATAGTGAACGAACATGAGAAACCCAGTTAACATTTCCCTTTTCGTCAAAGACTTTAAGCATTTCATAACAAGCTCGAGGATACCTATTGCGGTGTCCTCCCTATAGCTTAAAACAACAAATGTTATGGTCCGGTGCACAGATTAACTTCATGCTGTTACCTGCGTCTGCTTAATGGATTTGCCCAACAGAAAACAAACAAAACATATATAACATTTTTGCTGCGGCAGTTCATGTTGGTTTTTATAGTAAATAGTTTGCCTTCACAAAATGTAAATTTGCAGTCTTCAGTGAACAAGTTCCACATCGTGGTGTTTGACATTTTGTTACACTGACTGATAAACCTTTTTTTCATGGTATCACTTCTATACAAAATTGGAAGATTTGCTTTTATAATGGGCATAATTGTACAGTTATTTAGATTGTAGGTACAAACAAATAGAAGAATGTCCATGTCTGTATTTGTTTCTTTTGTTTTCATAAGTGTCTCTCTTGGGACTTTTACTGCTTTATGAACAGCATTTTCAACTACCTAAGAAGATAATTGTGTCTTATATATCTATTACATATTACCTATTGTCACTAACGTCATACCCATGATGACGACATAGCTACTACCGTTATGCATCGCTTATGACGACACTTAGTTTTCATTGTACACATGAAGAGCTGTTGAACGGCGAAATATCTTGTGCAGATAAAGTCTGGGAGTTATATATATAGATGTACAGATAGTTCATCTACAGATAGGATTAAATATTTAGTGTGATAATTTAGTGTCACTTTCATCCTCAGTGTTCAATCTGATCCATGTAGAACTAGTTTAGCCCAGCTTCAATAAGTAGCCAACTGCATCGTGGTACTGGATTGCAGTATATAAACAATTATACTATTTTAACTTCAAAACTCTTTCGTTTATATTTCACCTTTACTCCAATAAACCTTTTACACCAATATGCTAGGCTTGGCTTGTGTTTTTTTTCCTATCATATGAATACAAGAACATTAACTAACTACAAAATACCCTTCTCTCTTGTCCTTTACTTTCTGGTTATTACGTTTACAACAACATAATTACTGGTCAATAGTAGTTCATATGGGAGAGCTGATGGACTGTGCTCATTACGTGTCATGGGGGTGCCTCTGCTCAAATAATTAATCCCTAATTAATCCCTGTAGTTATTTTGGGATGTAGTTCAAATGGGATGTAGTTCTTATGGGAGTAAACCCCAATGGCTACTCATTCTCACGAGTCTACACCAGTACCTGATAAAACGACTAAAATTTTTAACAGCCATTTGATATCTGCCCAACTCCCCTAACACAGTTTTTGTACACACAAATATTCCTAAACCTACATACTTCCTGAAGAACGAGCCCTGAAGCTTTCCAATATCTGCTCTATATGTATATCCCCAAATTTCAGCGCCATAAAGCAAATTAGGTGCTATTTTCGTGTCAAATATGTTTTTAGCCATTTCATGAGGTGCGTCATACTTTATCAGCATTTGTTTGACAGGAATGCTCACTTTCATTGCTGTTAACGACAGAGTTTCACAAACTTTAGACCACACTAGCCTTGAGGAAAATATGACACACAAATACTTATAATAGCTAACAACTCTCATTTCCTTACCATCATAAAACCATTTCTCTGTACTTCTAAGATAGCCACCATTTCTAAAGACAATAATTTGAGACTTATCTAAATTCACCTCCAGACCCAATTTCAAATAAAGTGTATGTAGGAAATCTAATTTTCGCTGCAGCCCTACGACAGAATCATCTACCATGGTGACATCATCGGAAAAGAGCAGCAGTAAAGTGTCGTCCAGTTCCGATTTGACAAATATACCCCTTATACCACTATTTTGCATTTCCTCTACTAACTCATTTATAAAATATATAAACAATACCGGACTCAACATACACCCTTGTCTGACGCCATGTGAAGTTGTGAATATATCCGACCTATTACTGCCAACTCGGACGCACGCTCTGACCTTATTATATATGTCTGTTAAGAGCCTAAAGATCTTACCATGAACACCTTTGCTTAACAGTACATACAATAACTTATCACTATTTACTAAGTCAAAGGCCTTGCGAAAATCAATAAATGAAGCATAAAACCTATGACCAGGTTTCCTTAGGGGAATTTTGGACAAGCGACTGTAGAATGAAAATAAACTCTGTCAAAAAAGAAACGCAACCCCTGTCCTCAGATATGAAAAATTCGTTTGAATGAAGTTATTGCTTCCAAACTAAATTTTATTCGAATGTATTGAAATGATACACGTAATTAATGAAGATTACCATCCAAACAACTGCATTTGTACGCATAAGTGTATTTTATTGCTTATTCCGTCACAACGCATGAAATGACCCTCATGGTGACTTCGCACAAAAAAAACACATGCAAATCATGAAAATGGCAGTTAATGTAGGGGTGTAGAAAAGCCCATGTGCTTCCGTATTATATTCATTCATTTGTCGCCGAAAAGCTGTGTTAAAAATGCCACGATTGAGTGCTGCCGACCGAAATATCGCCATTGGTCGTGTTCAAGCCGGAGAAAGTTTTGGAACTGTTGCACGGCACCTAAATGTTCACAAAACAACGATATCCCGACTTTGGAGCCGCTACAACAACTTCAATTTGACCAACGATCGCCCGAGAAGTGGAAGGCCAAGAATCACGACCCTCTTCAAGATCGGTACATCCGGGTCCATCACCTGCGTAATCGGCATGCCCTACCAACCGTGACTGCCACACAAATACCAGGTTTGAGGAGAGTGTCAGCTCAAACGATTAGGAACCGTCTGAAAGAAGCGGGGTTACGTGCCTGTAGACCAGTTGTTGGACCTGTACTACGCCCCTACATCGACGCCGACGACTCAGGTGGTGCAACAACGTAAGGATACGGACTTTACAAAACTGGAGGCGAATCTGGTTTTCTGATGAATCACGTTTTCTTTTGCAACGTCACGACGGAAGACAGCGTCTGTATAGGAGACGTCATAAACGTTTTGCGCCCATCTGCGTCCGACAGGTGGACAGATTTGGCGGAGAAAGCGTCATGGTTTGGGGAACCATCTCATACAACCAGAAATCAGACTTGGTGATCGTTCCAGGAACCTGACAGCCCAACGTTACATCAACCACGTGTTAGAGCTTCACCTTCTCCCGATTATTGACCAACAGACACAGATTTTTCAACGGGACAACGCCCGGCCTCATACTGCACGTGCAACAATGAACTTTCTGCAGAATTCCAACGTCAATGTCTTGCCATGACCCTCTAAATCACCAGACCTCAACCCTATTGAACACCTGTGGATACTCTGGATCGACGCGTACGTCAACGTCAGCCGCCGCCACAGACGCTGCAACAGCTCGCCGTTGCACTGCAGGAGGAGTGGAGAGCCATTCCCCAGGAAAGAATCCGGCGTCTTATCCGTTCTTGTCCAAGGAGATGCCGTGCAGTGATTGCAGCGCGTGGTGCTCATACGAGATACTGAGAAAGACGCCCCCCTGGTGACAAACTGGTGTCTGTGAGATGACTTTTGAAATGACAATTTTAAACATGCCCATCTGGGTTATTATTCTGCCAAATTTCAGACTTCTGTCTTAAATAATAAAAATGCCGTGTCGTCCTAAAACTTCAGATCAAAATCTCTAAAATACAGGGGTTGCGTTTCTTTTTTGACAGAGTTTATTATCAAATATTGAGTAGCCATTTCTAAAACCTGCCTGTGACTCGTGTACAGTTTTGTTTAAGTCCAGCCAAACTCGAATACGTGAATCTAGAATACTAGTGAATATTTTACCCATTACACTTAATAAAGAAATTCCCCTGTAGTTGTTTGGGTTTTGCCTGTTACCCTTCTTATACAAAGGCACAATGACTCCAACTAGTGAAAGTTACAGTAACAGCGGGTACGAAATGTTAACAATGAATGTAAGTAATGGTGTTACTCTATATATTGGTTTAACAGACGTAAATTAAATAGCCTTAGATCTGTTTTAATTTCTTATTGCCATCCATTCGAGTTTTCTACAATAATCTCTTTCAACTAGTGATTGAATCTTCAGAAAGTTGACAGAAGCTCTGTATTCCTTACATTTCCGGGTACTCGATTCCGATTCGGGTAAGGACATGCGGGTACTCGATTCCATTTTTTCCTACCCGTCCCAGCCCTAGTCTGTTGTAACGTAGTCATCACATTTGTTGGGGTTATTGGAGATATAATATCCGCATTGTGTTATACCCCACCAGTGTTATAACGAAATGTGTCTGTTGTAACTTAGTCATCACATATGTTGGGGTTATTGGAGATATAATATCCGCATTGTGTTATACCTTACCCGTGTTATAACGAAATGTGTCTGTTGTAACCTAGTCATCACATTTGTTGGAGTTATTGGAGATATAATATCCGCGTTGTGTTATACCCTACCCGTGTTATAACGAAATGTGTCTGTTGTTACGTAGTCATCTCATTTGTTGGGGTTATTGGAGATATAATATCCGCATTGTTTTATACCCTACCCGTGTTATAACGAAATGTGTCTGTTGTAACCTAGTCATCACATTTGTTGGGGTTATTGGAGATATAATATCCGCATTGTGTTATACCCTACCAGTGTTATAACGAAATGTGTGTGTTGTAACTTAGTCATCACATTTGTTGGAGTTCTTCGAGATATAATATCCGCGTTGTGTTATACCCTAGCCGTGTTATAACGAAATGTGTCTGTTATAACGTAGTCATCTCATTTGTTGGGGTTATTGGAGATATAATATCCGCATTGTGTTATACCCTACCCGTGTTATAACGAAATATGTCTGTTGTAACTTAGTCATCACATTTGTTGGGGTTATTGGAGATATAATATCCGCATTGTGTTATACCCTACCCGTGTTATAACGAAATGTGTGTGTTGTAACTTAGTCATCACATTTGTTGGAGTTCTTCGAGATATAATATCCGCGTTGTGTTATACCCTACCAGTGTTATAACGAAATGTGTCTGTTATAACGTAGTCATCTCATTTGTTGGGGTTATTGGAGATATAATATCCGCATTGTGTTATACCCTACCCGTGTTATAACGAAATATGTCTGTTGTAACTTAGTCATCACATTTGTTGGGGTTATTGGAGATCTAATATCCGCATTGTGTTATACCCTACCCGTGTTATAACGAAATGTGTCTGTTGTAACTTAGTCATCAAATATGTTGGGGTTATTGGAGATATAATATCCGCATTGTGTTATACCCTACCCGTGTTATAACGAAATATGTCTGTTGTAACTTAGTCATCACATTTCTTGGGGTTATTGGAGATATGATATCCGCATTGTGTTATACCCCACCAGTGTTATAACGAAATGTGTCTGTTGTAACTTAGTCATCACATATGTTGGGGTTTTTGGAGATATAATATCCGCATTGTGTTATACCCTACCCGTGTTATAACGAAATATGTCTGTTGTAACCTAGTCATCACATTTCTTGGGGTTATTGGAGATATAATATCCGCATTGTGTTATACCCTACCCGTGTTATAACGAAATGTGTCTGTTGTAACTTAGTCATCACATTTGTTGGGGTTATTGGAGATATAATATCCGCATTGTGTTATACCCCACCAGTGTTATAACGAAATGTGTCTGTTGTAACTTAGTCATCACATTTGTTGGGGTTATTGGAGATATAATATCCGCATTGTGTTATACCCTACCCGTATTATATTGAAATGTGTCTGTTTTAACTGTTATACGCTTTTATAGATTAGTTTTGAGAATGTGAAATGAAATGTGTCCGTTCCGTCTCCGTTGTATTAGTAATCACATTTGTTGAGGCTATTTGAGATATAACATCCGTATTGTGTTATACCCTACCCGTATTATATTGAAATGTGTCTGTTTTAACAGTTATACGCTCTTATAGATTAGAGATGAAAATTCTAGCGTTTTCTGACATTTAACATGAGTACTGTTATACCCTGCCTTAGGAAAGATAAGATGCTTCAAAGGGTTATTCACTGGATAATTACCACAAAATACACGACATCAAGTTAGTTTTTGGTGATGACCATTCCACCGAGTATGTACACATTACTTAGTAAATGTAATCCCTGTAATGTGATACACGATTGGAACTTAATGTGTTTAAGAGCGGTATATACGTTACTGTGTTTCCATTACTTCAGGGGCGGTGGGGCAGCCTAGTGGTCAAAGCGTTGGCTCGTCACGCCGAAGACCCGGGTTCGAATCCCCACATGGGTACAATGTGTGAAGCCCATTTCTGGTGTCCCCCGCCGTGATGTTGCTGGAATATTGCTAAAAGCGGCGTAAAACCAAACTCCGTCAGTTAGTCCATTACTTCAATCCCGTCTGTCACTGAATTCAAATAGCGCAAAGATGACGGAGCTATATATAGTGCAGGTATGACTACCGTCACACTTGAGTGAACTGTCAAGTCCGCAGACGCGTTTCGTTTTACGTTTTTGTGGACGTTATGCACATGCAGCTGATCATCAACAGCAACACGAAAATAGGTTGTCTATTTGTTGTACAGGAATATACATACAACGATTGCGATGACTCCAGATGTCTGCTATGCTGACTCGTCATTCCTGACGACGAAAATCTTATTTAGCCTGTCACGTCATGGACATTCGTGAGATATTTATAGCTATACCCACCTCTCATTTTCATTGTGTCGTTTAATTCCACCGTGACCTGTCCCTCTACAGGCTCACCTGGGTAGTATACCGGCCGCTCCTTGCTGTAAGAAACTTCAAATAAGCTCAGCTTCCCCATGACTGTCGCAACCCATGAGAATACCGGTAGTCGTAAACTGACAACTGTTGTCAATCTAAACAACATTGAATCAATTCAAGGGAAGTAACTCGGGCTATACACGTATCCACCGATATATAACAGTAGCTTGGCGCGATTGTCATGTTTCGCAACACGTAAAAATGTGAAAACTGACAGAAATGCTACATCCTTCCAGCAACGTATGGACTCTGTCTCTGCGATTATACACAGTTAATGTGAAGTGAACACAGTCAACAATATTCAGTCCATGTAACAGGAACCTGTAAACAGGTTACAGGAACCAGTGGTTGAAATAACGAGCAACGATCCACATCAGATATGAAAACCTGCCATCATAAAGTCATGGACTTGGATAACACGGCCACTAATTGCATGGAGGTGGGAACTTTTGTACATAGCTGGAATGACATAATGAACAAAACAACATTGCTTCATTTAAAACACAGGCTTCTTGGGGTTTCCATAGTAGATTTGGTCCCCAGCAACCTACACGTCTTAAAAGATGATTAAGGCTGAATGGACATGCTGGGGACCAACACAGGATGTTGCAGGGTGCTGAGGACAAACAGAGGATTTTGCAGGGTGCTGGGGTCCAGGACAGGTGTTGCAGGGTGCTGGGGACCAACACAGGATGTTGCAGGATGCTGGGGACCAACACAGGGTGTTGCAGGTGACTGGGGACCAATAAAGGGTGTTGCAGGGTGCTGGGGTCTAACACAGGGTGTTGCAGGTTGCAGGGGACCAACAAATGGTGTTGCACGATGCTGGGGACAACACAGGATGTTGCAGGGTGCTGGGAACCAACGCAGGATGTTGCACGATGCTGGGGACCAACGCAGGGTGTTGCAGAGTGCTGGGGACCAACACAGGGTGTTGCAGGGTGCTGGGGACCAACACAGGATGTTGAAGGGTGCTGAGAACCAACACAGATTGTTGCAGGGTGCTGGGAACCAACACAGGATGTTGCAGGGTGCTGGGGATCAACACAGGATGTTGCAGGGTGCTGGGGACAAGCACATGATGTTGCAGGGTGCTGGGGACCAACATAGGATGTTGCAGGGTGCTGGGGACGAGCACAGAAAGTTGCAGGGTGCTGGGGATCAACACAGCGTGTTGTAGGGTGCTGGGGACCAACACAGGATAGTGCAGGGTGCTGGGGACCAACATAGGATGTTGCAGGATGCTGGGTACCAACACAGGGTGTTGCAGGATGCTGGGTACCAACACAGGGTGTTGCAGGATGCTGGGGACCAACACAGGATGTTGCAGGGTGCTGGGGACCAACATAGGATGTTGCAGGGTGCTTGGGACAAGCACAGGATGTTGCAGGGTGCTGGGGACCAACACAGCATGTTGCAGGATGCTGGGGACCAACACAGGATGTTGCAGGATGCTTGGAACCTACACGGGGTGTTGCAGGGTGCTGGGGACCAACACAGGATGGTGCTGGGGTGAGTGAGTGAATTTAGTTATACGCTGCACTCAGCAATATTGCAGCTATATGGCGGTGGTCTGAAAATAATCGAGTCTGGACCAGACAATCCAGTGATCAACAGCATGAGCATAGACCTGCGCAATTGGGAACCGATGACGTGTCAACCAAGCCAGCGAGCCTGACCACCCGATCCCATTAGCCGCCTCTTACGACAAGCATGGGTTACTGAAGGTTCATTCTAACCTGGACCTTCACGGGTTGCAGGGCGCTGGGACCAACACAGGATGTTGCAGGGTGCTGATGATTAAAATAGGACTGTTTCATCCTCCTCATCATTCAAATAACATAACAAATACCATATGGCATAATATCTTTATTTGTTACAATGAAGAGTTGGTTAAAAAAGGTAAACTTCAACAAAACATTGTATTCTGCGCCAAGAAAACCTGGAACTGATTGTTGAACCTAAAACTTCAAATAAAATATGTTGAAAGTTTATATGAACCATTATTTAAAACATGACAGTATAAACGACGAGTATGATGAACACAACTATAATTACGACACAAATACTGTGGTCATATTCTTCTTACCTGTAAACAACGACGGATGAACAATTTACACACCAAATGACACTACGGAACAACAGGAGGCATTATAAAATTGCTCAAGAACAATAATCTCCCACCCCAAAACCATGGTTGGTCATTACATTTGATGTACATAACAATAAACAACATTGTGACAAGCATCTGGGAAGTTACACTAACAGCTGCTTCAAGAAATAAAGTTATCTTAAGTAAGAACATACGTATCTACAAAATATGAAATATAATCCAAATGGACTACAGAATCATGCCTACTTTCAAACGGCTGGGGCTACCCAGATTCGCCAAATCTTTCTTATGAGTTGGAGTCATTCATAGGGAGGTCAACACTGTCAGAAGTTAAACTAACGCCTTGAATAGTCCTCACAACAACGAGTATCATGAAATACTTCTGAACACAATAAAAGTAAAAACAAAATGAAAATAAAAACCATTGTGTCTTCATGAGAACAGGTGAATGTAAAAAACTGGTCCTCACTACATGTTGCCACTACCTTTGCGTGCATAACGCTCAAAACAATTGTCAAAAACCATACCGGAGTTACAAAACAACAGCCATACAATTATAAACAATTCCAACTTACTATTGCACAAATCTGCTGCAATACCATACATAATACAGCTGTAGATATCACAGTGGTGATTCAGGCTACTTCATTGATAAAAGGTCAAAGCTATCACTGAACTGGTCAGTGCAATTTGTGCTCACCGGTAAGACAGTGTACAGTGTCCAGTTGGCTCTTACATGAGGTGTGACATTTACTGCATCTAAAACACTGTTGGAGACTGCATGAGACTTGTCATAACATAGTCCATTTGTGCCTCAGTGAACGAGAGTTTACAAATGTGATTAGAGAGTGAGTATGTTGAATTCTGAGACTGAGTGGTGGATTGTTCCAGTGAAAAGAGCTGCTTTTGCAAGACAGCTATCCCACCAATTAGTGGTCCCTTTTTAACTATGTACAGTAAGTTTATTGTGATTATATATGCTTTCCCAACAGCACTGTGCTATAATAATATTATTATGGCTTGTAAAACATATCACGATCGCTGATAATCCATTCAAATATATTCCGTTTCCTTCCCAAAGTATGTCAATGAGCATTAGCAAAGGGACTCCAGAAACAAGCACCTGTGACAAACAAACTGTGTAAAACCTACTGCGGACAGCTTGGGAAAATACACAAATACTATCACAAACAAGCAATACACAAGTTTGATTTACACTTCCTAGCCTTGAATCACACATTTTATGTACCAGTTCATCACAAAGCTTGCCATTGCAAAATCACATGATGGCTTAAAACAGTCATACCACTGCAAAAATCAGAAAAAATATTGTAAACAGAATATTTTTTTTAAAACATTATTTCTGAGCTAACTGATCTGAAAGGATCCACACAACATTATCTTCCGGAACATTCAGAATGTACTGAAAACCACATATTTTGTTTTGTCAAGTCGAAGAACACATGATTTTCTAACATTTTTGAGCAAACATTTTCTGTAGTGAAATACACCCAACCGATTGCCCCTGCCCCAAAATATCACTTGGTCAGGCATTACCTTTGTTTTGACAACAGCTTCTTAACAATCTATTGCCCATTCATGATCATGAAACTGAAACATCTTCTATGATAAAGTCAGAAAACATTTCCTAAAGTATTCATAGCGCAGCACTTACAAGTTCTGTATCAGAAAAAAGGCACAATAGGTTAAATGTTAAAAAATACCTTAAAAAGCAATTTCAGTGTTGTCATGGTATCCATGCAAATACCACAACACTGTCAAAGGTAACTGCAATTAGGATTATATAATATATAAAATGTCTTTGGCTGATTAAATAGAAATATATACATACTGACACACATAAGTTGATTAAATAATGAAATGAGAATGAAATGCTAAGGTATTTTCTAAATGTATGGCATTCATATTACCTAAATGCTGAAGGGGCACAGAGACTGCTGACAGAGATTGCTTGTGGAGTCCTGAGAAACACGAACCTGAGCTACAACTGGCAACACCTGACACAGACTTGACAACAACACACTTGACCTTTCAGGCAGAATCCATCAAATCATGAAATAAACTTTGAGTTAAAGTGTCAGGAAGAACTGCTGTCTTGTATAAAACAGTTATAAGTTTATAAGTTATAAACAGAAATAAGGTCACAGTATAGAGTTACTTACTTGGTACCTCATGTAAAATGTAACAACCTAATGTGTTTGATAGTCTTGCATACAGGAATCAAACTATGGCCTATACCCTGTAATTATACTGGCGACAAGAGGCAAGTACTGAACAGTGAGATGCGTGAAAGTGGCCAGATCCGAGATGACTAAATGCATGACAAACCTACAGTCACACAATATCAGGCTGAATTGTGGAGGATGGATTTGATGGATGTTCTTTGACAGACTCCACTGAAATACACAATAAAAAGAATTGCATTGCTTCAGCTGAACAAACAGAAAATAACTTGGTTGATGTAAATACTGCAATGAAAGACCTGACATTTTGATTCACAATTTCATTTTCATTTCCTATGGTAGTTTAATTGTCCCCATGACATTACTGTATTTTATGTAGATAATACAAAGACAAGAATGGATTTCATCAAAAGACATTTAAAAAAAAAATCAGTCTTAATGCAAAATGTATGTTTAGAAATACCATTTCATTTACAAGAACTGATTTTTGAATATTTGTTTGTTATTTATGTATGTTTGAAAAATCCATGTTCATAGCTAAAAATGATAGAATCAGCTAAAAAAATGTCCATATTTGTCAAAGACATGATGACTACAACATAAAACGTCCTGAGCTGTAAAGGGCAATGAAACATAAATTCTCTCATATGAGCAACTATTAAAGTGTTCCTGTATTTGAGGCCTTCAATTTGTTTTGTTTGCTTGAGGATCAATCAAATTAAAAAACTGGAATACAAAATATATAACATAGAAAAAAATATGAATCAGATTGACTTGACAACACTAATCCCAGGGATTTTCTATATGACGAAAACAAAATTCTTTTCAGTGATTTTAATTGGGACCAAAACCAGGTTAAGACTTGCTTTTTATCACCTACTGATCCAAATCAAACCTGAAGAGATGATAAAAAACATGCAAAATGCAATAGTTTTGTAAAATTTAAAAACAAAAATCAAAAGTATGTTTGGCATGAGAACAAAAAGAGAAACCACAGTAATAATAATAACATAAAATGTATAACATACACAAAAACAAATTTGCATTATATTTAGGTTAAGAATGTACAATATTTGGTTTTCAGGCAATAGCTGTTGAATATTTGGTTAAGCTACTTGCTGAGTTCTTTAATAACTGAAAATAGGAGTTCAACAAATGTAAAAATATTGAAATAGAGCAAGTGGACAAGTAGAACAGTTTATGAACAAAACCAGATATTAAACAAATGCTGCTGTCGGCAGAGTATAGGATAACCAAATTTATTGTGAATGAATACTAAACTCAAATGATCAACAAAATATGATGTCAGCAGAGGACAGAGGGCATGCATTCACATCCCACTGACCCGACAAAGAAAGGCAGGCATGTATTATTTTTGTTGAAGACACACCAAGAATGATCTCTAGTACCTTTCACTGATGAGACACTGTCAAGATTTCATAGATTGTCCCGGAAAATAGAGACCGGCTACAGGATTCCAATGCAGCCAAACATGGAGAATGCTCAGTGATGATTCTGGATGGGATCAGTGGAGCTGGAGGAGCCAATCTCCATGTAGGAATGTTGACAGGTGCTTGCTACAGCCACGACATTCTGGATGTGTATGTGAGACCATGCTGGCCTCATCAGACCGACTTAATCCTCCTGGATGATAACATATGACCTCATCATGCCATCATACTTAGAGCAGGTGACTTTTGTTGTCACTGAGTAGACATCCCAGTCAGCTTACCTCAACCCTATACACCTCCCTATACACCTCAGAACTGTAGATTGCTTTCCCACATTACGCTGCATATGGTGCCAGAGAAGAGTCAGAGTTGTTTCTTGGACATGGATTTGTTTTAGCCATTTAACTGCACTTCAGTTTGTGTCAGATACACCCATTTTGACTCATTGACTGACTGATTATTGGCTACATGTTTGTAGGCAGATGAAACAGACCTTTGTTCATTAAATATGTCTTTACACAATGGTGTCTTTACCTGTTTCTACAAATGTGCACAATTTTACTTATTGCCTTTCAAAGCAGTGATTCTTAACAAACTAAAAGGATCATATATCAGTATAACAAAACAATAAAACCATAAAAATACAGGAATATAAATGTCAATACAATACATGGTACACAGACTGTGTACAACAGTGTACAACAGTGGATCACACAGAGGAGGTTAATAACTTCATCTTGCAATACGGTTACCATGGAAAGTCAGCAAAAGAAAAGGAGGAAAATATAACATTTGTGGGATATGGGACTTTGAAGATCAAGGTCCATCTGAAACATTACAGGCACAGGGCAAGGGTAGACAGATTTTCAAAGACAGGCACAGTACATGCAGGCAGATGTAATTTACTAATGTACCCCTTCACTATCTGATAACCTCTATATTGATTTCATAGCAAGAGCAAGAGTCATGTTGCAATCTACATCAGCCCCCCTGATATCTAATCTGAAGGAGGGGCGGAGGGCTTGTGGCCCCAGTTGTAGTATGTCTAGACAGGGGTAACAATCTACTTCAGCCCCCCTCAAATCTAATCTGAAGGAGGGCAGAGGGCTTGTGACCCCAGTCGTAGTACGTATAGACAGGGGTTACAATCTACTTCAGCCCCCCTCATATCTAATCTGAAGGAGGGGCCGAGAGCTTGTGACCCCAGTCGTAGTACATGTGGACAGGGGTTACAATCTACATCAGCCCCCCCCCCCTCATATCTAATCTGAAGGAGGGGCAGAGGGCTTGTGACCCCAGTCGTAGTACGTATAGACAGCGGTTACAATCTACATCAGACCCCTCATATCTACTCTGAAGGAGGGGCGGAGGGCTTGTGGCCCCAGTCGTAGTACGTGTAGACGGGGGCATATCTGTTGTCACCCTGTAGGTGCTCACTCTCCCCTTCCTCCTTGATGTCGACCTTCCCAAACACACACTCTCCATATGATGGTGGGGCTGAAGCAAACAGCATTTCACAATGATAATCACAACTCCTCTTACAAGGATGACATGAAAACTAAAACACAGAGGTTCAGGTAAGCTGCGCATCTGCATAAATTACGCAAACATTTATGTGAAAACTCAATTCATATTAAGTCTGTTGCGTACAAGCACGCTTGAATTTGTGTAAATACTCAATAAATTTGATCTTACATGCGTACACACAAAAATGTCAAATCTTAACTTGGGCATTACTGAGGATAGATGGAGTAACTGAGGTATATTGAGAGGTTCTATTTCAACACATTAACTTGGCAACTTGCAGTCCTTCTTATCATTTCTCATATCACTGATCAAATATATACATGTATATATAACAAACACGTAAACCAACATTTAAATTGTATTATGTTTTTACAATTAATGGAAAATGGCAAAATAGCCAATTGAATTTGAGTGAGGTGGGTACAATTTATTTGGTTACTCAAAGGAAACTTTGGATACCCAATTGAGATGAACACCAGCGAGTACATAACTCAATGACCCAACCGTTATCTGTAACTCCGACACACAGTATTAAGTATCTGTGCATTTGTGTTGCAGCAATCATCAAGATAACATATAACTAAGATATTTTTCAGCTTGGTATCCTATTTTTTCGTGATCAGCACCCTTTAAATAGGTAAACTAGCCTGGATACCAAAACCTACTACAAAATGCCTCTTGCATTACTTTTATCCACAATCAGTCCTAGTCTATCGTGCCGGAATACGGAATAGACAGGTGCCGGATTAGACATTGTTTTAATGATCACAATATTGTTGTAACATGACGGGATCAAAATTTTATGCTGGTTTTGACAGTGTGCCGGATTAGACCGGTGCCGGTGTACATTGCTTCCTTCAGGTGAAGCCACTGATTCAAAATAAAACAAGAAAACAAAGTCATCAATATCCCTGGCAAAATACTATTTATGAATATGTCTACTACTTATGATTCTGTCAAATGTTTTGGAGTGTATATAGCAAAGTGGAAGGAGAGAATTGAAAAGTTTTCAAGATCTGCTCCAGAAAAGAGCAATACCACCAAATTCAGTTGAAGCCTAACTTGTTGCCATGGAAATGCAACAAGATGACATCCTCATAGTCACAGCCTAAGTCACATTTCCATGGAAACCACAAAAAACAAAATTCATATCTGGGGTTTTAACCCTCAAAAGGCACATCTAGGGATCATGCTTCATATGTGTACCAAGTTTGATGAAGCTAGTATGTATAGTTTAGGAGATCTGCTCTGGGCAAGGTGGCATCCTCAAAGTCACAGCATAAGTCATGTTTCCATGGAAACAGCAAAAAATAAAATTCATATCTTGGTCTAACCCCCAAAAGGCACATATAGGGATCATGGTTGACATGTGTACCAAGTTTGGTTAAGCTATCACGAATAGTTTAGGAGATATGCTTCGGACAAAGTGTGACGGACGGACGGAGGGAACTCATTTCTATATTCCCTGCAACGCAAAAAATATTGTATTGAGAATTCCAAAACTACCAAAGGGCACCAGTTCACCACCAGACCAATCTACATATGTGCCAAGTTTGGTGAAGAAATAGTGAATGGTTTTAAAGTTCTGCTCCGGAATAGACGAATGTGCACGGACAGAGTCTATTTTAATACCCCCAGCAAAACGCGTTGCAGGGGGATAAACATAAGAAGCATCCAATCTACAGTCTGACGACCACAGATTTCAAAACACTGTAGTATTCTCTCATAATTCAAACCCTCTGTTTTTTAACATGTTTGACGTAATTCTACTCACGTAAATTTGGCAAATTCGTCGGCATTCCAGGGGGATAGGCTGGGGGGGCTCCTGGGGGTAGAGACTCTCCTGGGGGGTAGGCTCCTGTAGGAGGTGGGTAGGCCCCTGGCTGGGGGGCTCCTGCACCAGGAGGGGGATATGCTCCTGCCCCTGGTTGGGGGTAAGCTCCTGCACCAGGTGGGGGGTAGGCTCCACCAGCCATTCCGGGGTGTGGCATGATCATGGGGGCCCCTACAGGAGGGGCCATTGGCGGATGCTGAGCTAGAATACTTTGCAGAGGGATGGTGCCAATTATTACTTGTAGAGGGACCTCAAGATCAAAGCTGGGTCCCGACGGGGTCACTTCAAGCTGTAAACATAACAGAGGTTGGTTGGTTATTTGATTGTTTAACACCGCACTCAGCAATATTCCAGTTATATATAGGCAGCAGTCTGTAAATAATCGCGTCTGGACCAGACAATCCAGTGATCAACATCATGAGCATCGATCTACGTTACCTGGATACGATGACATGTGCCAACCAAGTCAGAGAGCCTGACCTCCTGATCCTGTTAGTCGCCTCTTATGACAAACAAAACAGAGGTTAGTGTGTGACATGGGAGAACCCACAACAACTCTATAAAACATGTGTGACCTTCATTCTGTCAGCATAAGAAGTAACTACATTTACAAGTGTATACGGAAGACAAACATAAACTAGTACACAGTAATGTTCAAGATCATTGTTGGAGAAACTGTAATAAAGAAATTGTTGTATGATATATCCACAACAAAATGTTTCATCCCTTGTCAAACAAAAAGAGGGCAGTGACGTAAAATGAGTAACAATGTAGTTTAGCCGCAGTCAGCAAATATTCAGCAACTTCATGGTTTGTTTGGGTTTGGTTTGGTTGTTGTTTAACGCCGCACTAAGCATTATTACAGCTATATGGCGGGGGTCTGTAAATAACCGGGGTCTGGGCCAGACCAGACCTGTGATCAACAGCATGAGCATCCATCTACGCAATTGGGATACGATGACATGTGTACCACCAAGTCAGTGAGCCTGACCACCCGATCCTGTTAGTCCCACCATCAAGGCTCAGGTGGAATGGTTCAGTGAATATAGAAATGTTCGTGTAAACATCTCACCTGCACAACGTATCTGATGTCAATGATGTTGCAGCCAGCAAGAAACGATGGCGGCAAAGGAGGAATAACCAACTGGTCACCATTCCAGTAATCATGTCCACCCTCGTCGATCTCCCCATGCTTCAGTTTGGCAATCACACGACTTGAGGTTCTTGTTTTGGTGGTAGCATGGAACTTAGTCACCTGCAGCCAAGGGTAAAGGAGCCCAAGTGGTAAGAAACAGCAGCATATTATATGTAAAACCAGTCTAAGTAAACTTAGGCTTAGTATTATTCGTTACACTGCTATACTGAATCTAACAAAAATTGTAGAAGGTCGCGTCAGCTAACCTTTTGGACTGACCAATCAGAACACAGCTTACCAAATCGCGAAAGGTAACATTTGCACATACCGTTTGAAGCTTTACCTAAAAACCTCGAACAGTTCTGAATGCTATTTTCCGCACGATCGCTTCCGAGTGATATAAGCAATAACCAGAAAACAGTAAACAGTTGCGAAAATATAAGCAACAGTAACCATGTTATTAGAAACCCATAAGCGTATATACTACAGGTCAAATATCTGTGTTTTATGCGGATTTTCATTTGTTGATAGATCAGTGTCAGCGACCAGGGAAGAGAAAATTCAAAAAACGTTTTGTAAGTCCCGCCGAACCCTAACAGGTAGTCGTTGTTTGATTGGTTAAATCTGTTCGGCCGTCTCGCGTTTGATTGGACGGTCAAGGTCCCTCAAAGGTTAGCTGACGCGACCTTCTACTAGGTTTTGTTAAGACTCAGTATAGCAGTGTAACGAATAATACTGAGCCTAAGTTTACTTAGACTGATGTAAAACATGCACCATCTAACAAAGAAGTAGACAATGTACCGCTATCTCAAATATATTAACACAATAAAATAAAACACAGAAATATATGCAATGACAATGAAAACTGCAAACAATAAACTAAACCTGACATAGTATTTTGTAACCTGGAGACATTATTTCCATATCATTATGTCCAGATATCACACTTGATCGTAGAACTATTAAACTCACCATTGTCAATTTCACAGACGACGACTTTATTCTCCTGCTTGTCTGGTTGTCAATTTCAGCTTTCAGAATGATGGCTTCTCCGGGAACGTATCCTTGTCTGTCAATGGTGAAGTTGGCAGAGATTGGTCCTGATGCACAGCACCAGCAGCATAATGTCTTTGAATTGGCACCTTGAGCTGGCATCTACAAGAAATCAACTCTTCTGTATTCATCAACCAACAAGTTGTTCTCCATATTGACCAAACACTTATTTGATCATTGCAGTGTTGCTATGGTTTGATCATCGTGATCAAGGAAAGGTGCAACATGCATCCTTTAGTTGTCAACAAGTGAGTGTAGGTTGAACTGATAATACAGTGAAACTTGTCTAAACCGGCATCCCACGTGACCGAAATAAAATGCTGGTTTACCCAGTGACGATCATTTTCGAACATGGCAGCCATTTACACTCGTCAATCTCTCAGTCTAGCGTGCTGAGAGAAGTGTATTGGATTAAGGGACCCTGATTGGACTGCTCATACCCATGCCTGCTTAGGGCGTTTGATTCATCGCGCAATCACTACTTCCTGATTATCTAGCGTGCCAAGAGGATTAATTAGTGTATTTGGATTACAGGTCCTTGATTGGGCAGCTCATACCCATGCTGGTTTAGACAGTGTAAATTACAGTTAAAATTGCTTGTTGGGCCTGGAAAGTCATGCTGGAATACGGAATAGATAGGTGCTGAATTAGACAATGTTTTAATGATCATAATATTTTTGTAAAATGGCTGGACCAAACTTTTATGCTGGTTTTAACAGTGTGCTGGATTAGACAGGTGCAACTGTTGGCAGGTTTCACTATATATAGTTTGTGCTGATATGGAGATATGAAGAGATCTCTCTTCTTCATGCCATAATTCAGCAGTTATTTCCATTTTGAAGTGAGCCCACCCCCAGCCTTGAAGTGAAGTGTCCACATATAGATGTAGGATGTAAACTGGGTCTTCTAATGCAGACATTGACATGACAGCCCACCAAACAATGTACAGCTTCAGATATGAAGGAAGACAAAACTTGAGACCCTGATGATCTAGAAATGATCTCAGGAATCTTTGAATAGGTCTTACTTGTAGTCTGCTTCTCACTGTTAGTGCTTGTGACAACGTAAGGAGTTCAAAGATCATCTGATCACGGCCTCATACTCAATATTTACACATGTAGAATAGTTTTTTCTGAAGAAATTGGGAACGTAATTAAGTTGAAAATACACTTAATTAAATGCCAACTAGAAAAATCCACTAATAGATTAGGAAAATCCATCAATAGATATGAAAAATCAAAGGCCTAAAACAATAAACAAAGCCAAAAACTTTGAAAATATCTTTATAATTTTTATAGGATGGCTTGGATTAACAGAACACAGAAAATCTTCCCTACCATCCTGATGGGGGAAACATAGAGTGAGTCACTTTAGCTGGTGTGCATCTGCGATAGAGGGGTGCATTTGGGTGAAATGTTTTTACTGTTCTTGAGGAACGTAACACAGACCATTTCCCCTTTATTTTGGGTTAAGGGAGAGCAGATCAAACAATATGAGACAAGTTAAGGACAAATAATACATTTTCTTAGTTATTGAATGCATTTCCTCATCATAAATCAAATACAAGGATGACTTCCCATGGTTACAACTCATTTGATACTAAGTGTCTTACTCAGCTTTAACAGCTTTTTTTCTGTGTAATACTATGATGTCCCATTTGAACTCATGAAGATGAAAATCCTATCTAACTGTAGAGAATTGTTCATCATGTTCTTGCCTTGGTTAATCATACAATGCTCACAGACGAGAGGAGTTTGAAGCATTCAAAAGACAATCAGAGACATAAGGCTCGTTATATTGCATGTATACATGCTGACCTGTTTTGGTGAAGTGTGTGAATGTTGTTTAAGCCGCATTCAACAATTTTTAAGCTACATCCGGGCAGCCTATACTTAACATTCAGAACCATGCATTGAGCTAAAGTGTTATCACAGCCCATGTGATACAGCTAAGATTGATTGACCAGAACACATAATCAGCATCTTGGCCTGCTTAAAATGGCTTACCATAGCATTTGGATCCCGGTTCAGATCCAGCAAACAAATCACTGTGAATGGCCTTTTTGTTTCGTGATCGAACTTCCATGGTTTATCAATGATTCCTTTAGCCGTGTATCGAACATGACCGTGTTCTCCTTCAAAGGATGATGGAAGCTGTGGGGAGTTGAAACGCAAATGGAAAGGTGTGGCGGCCAGCGGGCAGATGGATGTCATCCCCCGACTGCTGCTTCCCTACAAGGAACAGAGATACAAGTAAGCTTGTGGCAGTTGTGAAATGCCATGGCTACATTAATCAGCTTGGCTCAGTAAGATGGGACTTCAAAGAGCATGTACAAAAATCAATATTGGAACTTCTGTCATGCACATGACACAATACAACATGCAGCAGTTGTGAACAAAATCAGATTGTTTTCATTTGTCACTATTTCTTTTCAAGAACAATACAAGCAGTCTTTATAGATGGCTGCCACGTTGTCATGGTTACATGAACCAGACATAGAACTGTTAATGATTTCTGGTTCCCACTGCTGCCCAAATTTCTCAGTTTTGATGGACAAATGACATGATACGTACATCTACCAGCCAGCAGTATGTCCTGGTTGAAGTACTGTTCTCGGGCAGAGTAGTGTCGGGTCTCTGTTCGTCGGTTGTCTCCAGAACCTCTTGTATGCCTCTCTGTCCAGTGTACATAGGCCTTGCCTTCAAATCGAAGACGAATTCCTGAAAAATGTTTATGGGTATAAAAAAATGGTATTCTTTTTCACGTAAAATTGTTGCTTCCTGCTTTATTTCTTAATACTTGCAGTGTTATGATGCAGTGGCAGCAAATGACTGAAACACCTGTATGCTCATGTTGTACCACTGTATTGGGTGTGTGACCTAGTGTTACTATCCTCAAATACTGTAAACAATCTTGATCATTTAAGCACGGCTCATTGTGTGTGTATATATACAGATGTTGTTTTTGTAAATACATGCTCATTTTTTGTGTATAACATTATGCAATCAACAGACATCATAACATGTCATGTGTTCAAGTATCACACCTGCCTGTCTGTGTAATTACATAATGTGACAGAGACCGAACTCGGGCCATAAATCAATGCGTTTTGTTTATGGTGTATAGCCTGATTGGTGTTAAGTTCAAATTGCATGTGGTAAGTGATCGCAGTTTTGTATTGAATATTGTCATTAGTAGACAGGCAGGCAGACACACAGGTGTCAATAAAACAAGACATTGAGTTTTGTCTGTGACAACGACATATCTATATCACAGTTAGAAATACTGTCAACGCTAAATAATGATATTGCTTTTAAGTATCGAACTGAGAAAGTGACTCGGTAAGAAGAACGTGTGGTGAAATAGACAAATGAAATTATATAAACAGTTTATTTACAGTCGTAACATATAAAAAGCTCGCGCCTGTGAGATATCAACAAAAACATTAGGAAAATAGCTCACACCAAAGCCTTCACCAAGTATTCACCGGACAGCCTGCTTCCAAGTTGCGCGAACCTATTTCACTGCGCACGTACTATCAGCGCAGCCCAGCTGTTGAAACCAGTTTTCCCCCGAAAAGTCGGGGGAAAATTAGTGAAACGTTTATTTTTTTTCGCGTTATTTTTCAACTTTATAAGTTGAATGTGCATTTTTGATGATTTGTTTCGGTAAGTCCATACCGAAAGGTATCAGAATCTGCAAAGTTGTGTTTTACGTTGCATGTGACCTTTAAGTAGATGCGGGTTCAGGCAGTTTCTCAAAGGTTGACTGTACCTATTTGACCTGACTTTATCTCACTGCCGGACTTTAGACTCCGAACATCAATTATCACTAATGGATTAGCTTAGTCTGTCTCACAGTCCCTAACCACATTATTTTCCCTAATGCCAAGCTCTCTCTGCAATGCTAGAGCCCTAAATAAAGCAAGTCTAGATTTCCTCCGGTTCAGGTCTGGTCTCCCTAGGGCTCCTTTTCAATTTAAATGGGCTTGTTTGTTACTATCAAAATTATACATATTCAGAGACTTAGCATTAGTCTAGGATTAGCTGAGTGTACTTGTTTTTGCTTCATTAATCCAGCTGTATTCCCTGGCAATTAGCGGGGCTCATTATTGGTAAACTTCAATGGCAATTAATACATTGCAAGTGCTGACAAAACATGTAATTTTCTGAGTAAAATTGATATTTTATACTTATCCTGACTCATGCATATTTGCTTGTCTTCTTCTTCTTTGCGAACACAGTGGAACACTTGTATCTCCCAATTGAAGTTCCCTTCAATGTAAAATCACTAATTAGTACTCACCACCAGTTATCTTTCCCCTCGCAAGCGCGGGAACGAGGGCCACCTCCCACCACCATGTGCCTCACTCTCTCCTTTTATAGCGAAGCCCAACACTTGAATTTACAGGGAAATCCAAAGTGTTATGTGGGGAGGACGGGAGGGCTTATCTCATGAGTCAGGATAAGTATAAAATATCAATTTTACTCAGAAAATTACATATTTTTCCTTATCCTGACTCATGTTTATTTGCTTGTAGAATCCGACGGCTATGGAGGTGGGAATATATAATACTTTGGATTTGGATAATTAGTGATTTGAATTGTAATGACTGTAATAACCCTATGGGAACTTCATAAAGGCACTGAGCTGATGATTTCCTGCTGCTAACTTATCAGCTGCCATATATGGGTTATTACAATATAACTATTACAATATACTTATTATGATAAAGTATATACAACATTAATACAAAGCTTAAGACTAGTAGACTTAAGTTGTTAATGTGATAGCATAAACTCCTTTGAGTTTATAGTTACCAATAATATACTTTTATGAAGTAACCAAAGTACTAAGCTTAAGATATTCATAAACTTAAGCTATATGAGTCTAGTACTGTGCTTAAGATATAATTTAACTTAAGCTATATAATAGCAAAAACTCCGTAAAGTTTGTTAGCTAATACATTTATAAAATCTGACCATATTACTGAGCTTAAGATATGATGAAACTTAAGCTAAATATAATAGCAAAACTCCTTCGAGTTGTTACCTAATATATTGTATGATATAATAACCATAGTACTGAGCTTAAGATAATAGATTGAACTTAAGCAAAATATATATATAGCATGTAGCTATTTAGTACTGATATCAGATAAGTATAAAATCTGTAAGATTGACTTATCTTTCTCCAGGAACTGTCAACTGTTGAGCTTGAGGACCATGGGACCTAAATGGTGGATACCTGAGACGTCCTTGGTGGTGATATCTCTCAGATAGTGGTTTGCAAACACCATATCGAATCTCCAGAAACAACCCTCCATTATGGTATTCAAAGAGCAGTTGCCGTGTAGAGTAAGTGTTGATGCTAGCGCTCTAATTTCATGAGGATTAGATGCTCTTGGAGGGTCGAGTCCTGCAGCCTTGTAGGCACGTAGTATGACAGTTCTGATCCAAATTGAGATAGTAGTACGTGAGACTTCCGTCCTGAAGCTGTAGATAGAGGGATAAATAATCTCTTGAATTTTGCTCTCCTCTGTTTGGATCGGTGGAGATATATTTTCAGTGCTCTTACTGGGCATAGTGATAGATCCATCGTATCATGAGGTCCAAGTATGGATGAGAGAGCTGGGACGTGGAATAATCTGTCTGGTTGACCTGGCAATTGGTTCTTAGCTATAAAATCCCAGCGTAGTCCCAGATAAACGATGTTATGAATATCATCAAAGCGTGTTCTCTCGTAATCCAAAGCGTGAATCTCTGACATCCTGGCAGCTGTAGCTAGCGATAACAATGACAAAGTTTTCTGGGTCAGTGATTTAAACGATGTAGATTCTAACGGTTCATAAGCCTCACTTGTGAGGTGTTGGAGCACTATATTTAGATCCCAAGCTGGAGCGTGAAACTTCCGTTTGTGATCCTCCAATCGGAATGCTCGTAGCAAAGCGAGTAACTCTGGGGTCTTTGTTAACTTGACCGCTCTCATAGTTATGACAGAGCTTAATGCTGCAAGATAAGTGGACAAAGTTGAGCCTTTTAGATTCTTAGTTTGTCGTGAGATAACATAAGTAGTCCGCCACTTGAGGATGAGTAGCATATCTGGCTGTAAATCCTTTCTTTGCAGCATAATTGACAAAACTGTGCCATTTGTCATCGTGATAAGTTATGAAGCTGAGTTACGCAGGGCAAGCTGCGACTGCTTTTGCCGCCTGGCTGAATAACCTCTCTATTCAGACATGCCTTGATACAATCCATACGCGAAGTTGGAATACTTCTGGTTTCCGTGCACTTGTTTGGTGTGCGGATGTATCAATAGATTCGAGCGCTCTGGAAGTTGTAGAATTGGTTGTCCGATTTCTTGAATAAGATTTGAAACCACGCTCGCTGGCCAGTAGGGCCACCAAAATCAGATGGAGGCTCTGCGTTTGACTGATTTTCCGTAAGACTTGTGGGATTAACGCTGGTGGCGAAAGCGTGACGCTGAGTCCCTCCCACGATATGCTTAGTGCGCCCGCTGCCCATGCTAGTGGGTCTGGAACTGGTGATACCTTAATGTTGTCAGTTGTTCGTTGAATCGAGTGTCGAATAGGTCTACTAGTGGAGATCCTATTTCCATGATTATTTGAGTGAATATCTCTGTGTGGAGCATCCATTCTGTCGGCGACGGTAGGTGTGGCCGAGAGAGAGCGTCTGCTAATACATTCTTTGCTCCTGGAATGTGGCAAGCTCTGACATGTATGTTTAGATTGTCGATTAGATCGAATAATCGGAAACATAGAGACAGTAGGTTCGGTGACCTTGTTGAGCCTTGTTTGTTCACATAAAACGCCACTGTCGAATTGTCTGTGTGAATCATCAACTGAGCGTTCTGTAGTAGGTTGCTCCAGAGACTTATGGCATTTATGACTGCTTGCATCTCTAGCAGATTTATGTGACATTTGCTCTCTTGATTGCTCCATAGGCCTGACGCTGTCTTGTAGGCGAGGTGGGCTCCCCAACCTTGTAGTGACGCGTCTACGTAGAGATGTGTTTCCGATTCCGGCTCTATTAAGGAGATGCCTACGCAAACATTCAATCTCTTGGTCCACCAGAGTAGATGAGGTTTGACGTGATCTGGTAGACTGAACGGTAGAGGGTCCTCGAGATGCGCATTGATGAGGACTTGTAACGGACGTAATTGAAGCCTGCCTCTGACTGTCAAGTCTTGAGCTGATGTGAGTAGTCCCAATAGAATCTGCCACTGTCGTAGTGGTAGCGGAGAGAGTAAGGCTTGTGGGATTAACTGTTGGATCTTGATCCATCTGTCCTCCGGGACTACTATACGATTCTGGCCTGTTAGAAATCGTATACCTAGAAATTGCAGATCTTGCGTTGGTTCTAGGTCCGACTTGAGTAGATTTACTAACCATCCTAGTTGAGGATGATTGCTTAATGACATTCGCTAACGTATCCATGGACTTGATCATAAGCACCTCTCTAGAGTCCTTAGACACCTCTTTGGAGACCTTGTCTATGTTACCACCAAAGAGTAAGGGCGATGACCATGGGGCAGCGTAGAGTGATTCCGTAAATTGATTATCCCAATTGCAGGAGGCTAGTAGACCCTGACGACGAGCCATGGTAGTAGCTTCAGTAAGCGCTGACAAGTGATCTGTAAGGAACTGATGGTCTCTTTTCTGCATGAGTAGAGCCGAGTAGATCATTCTATCTTCCTCCTCTGTAGAATCTTTGAACTTGGTGATGAGAGTTTCATTGACAGTTCTAGATCTATTCAATCCAAAAAACATTCCAGTGTTTCCGTCTACCGGCATATGCCGGTATTTTACCGGTAAAAAAATCAAAGGACCGGCATATTTATGGCAAACAAGTCCTGGGGACCGGCAATAAATACACCCGGTTAAATCATTTCCTCCAAATTGGCAATACAAATTACCAGCAACTGTTAGATAAAGGAAACTTCCATGTAAATTGATCTGCACCATACAGCGTACGCGTAAGGAATTCGCGGTCTTTTTAGTAACAGTCCCAAGCGATTATTGTCATTGGCTGATCGCCTCGCTTTTAGCCTCGATCCAGATGAGAGGCATTTTGGCGTGAGGTTATAATGCATCAGATTTCAATACTCTATCGGGCCAATAGTAAGACAACTTTACGATGGGGAATGGACATATTAACCCATTCAACACCGCAGGGCGAATAATCGCCACAACGTTATGAGTCCCCAGACACCGGAGGCCGATAAATCGCCAGGCAGTAGTCACGCCAAAATGAGACATAATTTTAGGAACCTACCTGACTTTTGATTCATATATCAAATCTATCACATTTCACAATGTCTGAAAACACTTATTAAATTTCAATTTATCATATATTATCAGCAGAATTAAAATTATAAACTATTTTTCGCAATGTTCTTGAAAACAACGATTCTCGGACACATGCTTCGGCAGCGGGTCTACAATAACATTGTCAAAGAGCAAAGTAACGATGTTTCGAGGAAATTATTAAATAAATTGAATAAACTAATGAATAAAATCAACAACAGCATTCATTAAAGTTGTCAAACGTACATATAAAATTACTATTTCCATCTTTTTGCGCGCATCATGTAATGCAAGTCAAGTCACTGACAAGTGACATCTCGCTCGCCGCCAATCTTCACCGGACACGATGTTTAATGCAAAAATACATACATGAAGCATTTTTGTCACAGGTCATAACCAAGCGCGATACGTCCAATAAGTTCCATAATTTACGTATAGGTAGCGATTTCTTGCTTAATATGTTCAGAATAGCATTATTTTACCCAAAACTTTTGTCAAAATCTAAAAGTTTTCGTTTACGAGGACGGTATCCATTGCTGTAATATGATTGGCTGCCTTAGGTCACGTGTCTGATTTTGACCAATGACGACCCTTATAGCAGACTGTGGCGAAAAAGCGTCATTAGAAACCAATCTTTATCCAATAAAATCGCTTCTTACAACTGTGAAAATACTCTTGGCAAGGGTACAGTGATATTGTTGATGTTCAGAGCATCCGAACTATTCCGTAAAACCAAGAAAAGAAAAGTGTAATTAACAGTTCATAACTGTACAAGTACTGCCAAACAAACTTGCGGTTTACTAGTAACATGTGACGTCATTTCACATTTCATGTTCGAATGAGTTTGATACGTTTGTTGTTATTAAAAATGAAACACAAACACACACACACATTCTTGTTGTTATCTTTATTTAACATGGAAAAGAAGTGGACTGGTGAAAATAATAAGGGACTGGTATATTTGAGGCTTACCAGTCCCATGGACTGGTAAATTCGAAACTCACCGGAAACACTGCATTCTCCTAGAAATGGTATCCAACTGGGCTAGTTTGCGATCGTCTATTCTGTAATTCCTGGACTTGGCATCACTGATTAACTGAAAGTTGTCATCAATCTCTTGAGCCTTGAAAAAGGAGTCCATATTGTGACCTGCAAATTTCTTGGCCTTGAAAACCGGGAAATGTGTTGATTGGAATTTCGTAGATTTGGTAAAGGCTGTATCCAGCTTAGCTGGAACCACTGCTATCGGGTCAATAGGAGGTAAGGAGATAGTGTCCGCATCATCTTCCTTCATCAAATAAGTATGAGCTGAGTTCTCGTTCTTAGACGGGGAAGCAAGTTCCAATCCATTCACCATCCAGTATCTAATTTCTGCATCTGAGAATACGATACCTTCTTCCTCTTCTGACGTAGGATCACATATAATAGAGTGAGGTGGAGTCCTAGATCTGTAGGAAGATCGACGAGGAAGATTGTGGTGAACGGACTGACGAAAGTGGCTAGTATAGGGAGACCTTGGAGGAGACTTCCTCGGCGAACGCTGGTGGCTTCGTGAAGCTCTCGATGAATCCCTTCTAGATCTTCTGGGTGAAGATGACTTGGAGCCATTTAACCTTCGTGGATGGCCTTCGGAAGGTATCGAGTCAGAGTCCGGAATCATTATATGGGAGCCTGCTCCGCGAATGACCTCTGTGTTCTACAGGGTCTGAGCTCGGTGAAGCACTTCCTCCTCCGCGCAAGCCCTTCAAGAACTGGTGAGGATCTGGATCCTTCGTGCGGAGGCTGCTTGGGACGCCCTCGCGAAGGCTTCGATCACGGGCTGGGTTGCCCATCTTCGTGGAGGTGCGTTTGTGGGCTCTGGGGTCCTCACGCGAAGTCATAGCGGGCTCTGGGGCCCTACATGACTTATTATGGGTTGGGCTCTGGGGCCCGCTGCTCTGAGGCCTCTGTAAACCGTATCGGTCTTCCATCAACAACATGATTTGGTTGACCAGGTCGCCTGGGACCGGTCTGCGCTGGCGCTGAGGGTGTCCTCTCTCTCTGATAGTGACGGGACCCTCAGTTATAATCTCAGGCGTCAGCGTAGGCATCTCTGGTTGCATGTTGATCTGCGCTGAAGTGACGGTAGCCGATACTGGTCGCCTTCTTGCCGCACATCTGGAATGATAATCGGAATGTCATCATCATATAAACACAATTCTGAAACAGGTAGAATGTCAGAAGAAAAGTTTTAGTAGCCTTCGTGGATTTCCCTCGACGTAAGCTGTAGCCCTGGGGGTTCGGAGCGACGCTGTGACGAGGTGGAAGCTCTTCTAGTCTTAGACTGTGATGATGGAATGTCCTGGGATGCAGGTCGCTTCTTGATATAGCGGACTCGCGCCCCACGCCTCCAGCGAAGGTAACTCAGGCGGAACACCAGCGATAGAGGGTCGTCCGCAAACAGTTGACAGGGTATATCTGACTCTGATCTATTAGCGATGACTGAAGATTGTTTCCGAGATCTATCTGCTGCCCGTCTCAAGACGGAATATAAATATTTATCAAAGGCAGAATTAGACAAATTAATACATAATTTGCAGCGTGAAACAATAGAGCATGGAGTTGTACAACTAGGGCATACTAAATGCGGATCGGCAGCAGAGTAAGGTAATTTACATACTGCAGATTTTCATTAAGGCAAACTGCTGAGCAAACACGGCCAACCGTGAATAAAGCAGCAGAAACACGAATAAATATCAATGCATGTTGAATAAGGATACTAGTTACACCTGTATAGATGAATATAAGATGTAACAAACTAAATATAATTAAAGGATATAGTGTGTAGGGAGACAAAGGCGCTCTCACGTCCTGCTCACTGGGCGAAGAAGGAGAGAGTGAGGCACATGGTGGGAGGTGGCCCCCTCGTTCACGCGCTTTGCGAGGGGAAAGATAACTCGTGGTGAGTACTAATTAGTGATTTTACATTGAAGGGAACTTCAATTGGGAGATACAAGTGTTCCACTGTGTTCGCAAAGAAGAAGAAGACAAGCAAATAAGCATGAGTCAGGATAAGGAAAAATTGCAGTGATTCGTGGTAGAGAGGATGAGGAAATCAGCGAGCCAATTTCAAGGAACTTTCAAAAAAATTATTCTTAATCATTTTTTTTACATCAGTATGAATTTATTATGTGCAATGAATTTTAATGTTTTAGTATTTACACATCCAAGTTGTTTTGTGAATTAAGTCAGTTGATACATGTATACATTCTTTTGTCTCTATCAATCAAGTGAACGGGAAGTAACTCTACTGCAGTGTGGTGTACTGGCCTTTTTTCAGCAAACCGAACGTTTCACTGTCTGAACATTTTTTATGAAAAACGGCACTGTTCGGATTAATGTGGCCTGACTGTATTCAGCTTTCAGAGAGGCAAATAGAGATCTAATTGGGAATACCAACCATTTGTTTTAACATAAAGAATTGTTAGTATTTGGGTTGTGTTTAGCATTTGTTAATCATATTCATCAATACATGTGAAACAAATAAGATTTTTTCTTTGCATCTTTCTTGGCATCTGGTTACAGAACACCCAATCAGAATCCGTTGCAACAAACAGTTTTCGTATGGAGCCTTTTTCAGTGCAGGTTGAATCCTCTGACAGTTGTGTAACCATCAGCAGTATTGCACAACAACATATTACAACATAACTTAACCTAAATTCGTGGATAACCTTGATTCGTGGATCGCGGTAATTATCATGCTAACTTGTAAATCAAGTATCGTATGGCATCACGAAGCGGCACTTTTGGTGTACACACAGTGCCACGCCTTGCTGACAACAAATGTTTCGAATCATCGAATGTTGTGCAACTGCAAATAAATATCTGCCAGCATCGCATTCGCATTATGACCATCTCCATTGGAGTGAAAACTACAGACTTTCTAGTAAGATTTTCCAGATTTCAGAAAAGTACTGTATATATGAACAACGGGTATTGACTTTCTAGAGTTATGCATAATAATGTTTGACATGCCAGACGGTAAATGTCAGATTCCCGCGTCACGTCTACAAAACTCGCATACGTAAGATAATACCTCTCATTTTCATAGTGTCCGTCAGTTCCACCGTGACATGGCCCTGTACGATCTGGCCTGCGTAGTATACACCTTGCAGGTTGCTAAAGGACACTACAAACATGTTCAGTTTCCCCATGGTTGTAAACCTGCGGCAGCAGTTCTTGAAACCTACGAAAATGTTTGTAATCCGCTAGGGGACGTAACTCCTCCTGTCACAGGGTGATATCTCGAAATAGAAGACGTGTACCTGAAACTGGATCGAATCCAACGCAACACCCCCATCAAGTACACCTTTTTGTTAGCACATTTCCCATAGGGCATTTGTTTACGATGAAAGTCATAAGCAGAGGTAGATGAAGTTACTATGTACTGATAGAAGTATGTGATCTCGGCCACACAGATAAACACTACAAATAACTAAATATATAACAGTTTATATAAATATATAATTATTTAGGAAATAAAGTTCGCTCTACCCCAATGTGTGTTGTAATAAAGTATACTTTTAAAAACCTGGCGCATTCACGGGATAACGTCATTCAATTGTTACGTCATCAAAAAACTATACCTTTATTGTCTGATAATGTATTTTTTTTCCAATTGTTCTAACCGTTAGGCATCTTAGTATCATTATTTGTTCAGCCTTTTTTTTTCTTTAACAAGGAACCTATACTGTCGGATCATAGATTTTTCAGACGTCATACGTTTCTGTTTTTTTTTGCTCACTTGCACTTTAATTAAGAAATACAGTTCGCTCTACCACCATGTATAGTGTAATAAAGTATAGTTTAAAAAAAACTGGCGCAGTGACGGGATAACGTCATTCAATTGTTACGTCATCAAAAACTATACCTTTATTGTCTGATAATGACTACCGTCCTCGTGCTTTAGTTATAATAGTTCAGGGCAAAACTATACTTTATTACAAAACACATTGGGGTAGTGCGAACTTTACATCTTTTCTAAAATGCTAAATTTAATACTTTCTAAGGATAATTACGATTAATTTAAGGCAGAAAACAAACGACGGTGTCGGTGAGTTAAGTTAAGAATCCTCGCACAGGGCTAACTGGCGCGCTGGGCCCGGTTGTTCAAAACTCGGTTATCTTTTAACCAGCCGTTAAGTACATTTAACCGACCGTTAACTAATAACAGAGGGGAACGTTATCTTGTTGTTCAAAACTCTGTTAACTTTAAACAGGTTGTTAACGTGACGTAAAGTTAAAACGCCTAAGGACCGCCGCTAACTTTCTAACAGTGTGGTTAACTCGCAAATGACGTTCATGGCTAACACTGCTTTCATGAGGTCAGTCACTTTGATTAAATTTTATATTTGAATATCGAAACCCTTTTTGTCACAGCGAACACAACACTATCTCTTGTCATTTTACACGATAATGTTTGGAATTTTAAACTTATTTTATAACAATATCTGAATGCTAATGTTATACACTGATGTATTTTATATAAGGAATACAATGGCACAATAGTATTTCTCTGCCGCATCGTTGCATCGTTCTATAATACACTTATGAAATATAATACATGTTTTCCGTCCTTGAAGAAATTGAAAAGAACTATCTATGCATTTTCTATAGTCACTTGTGAATTGAACTAAATGGAGGTTCATCTGATCAATGAGTATCGAGGAAATTATGTTCATCTACTACAGCGTTCTATAATACACTTATGAAATATGATACATGTTTTCCGACCTTGAAGTCATTAAAAAGAATTATGCATTTTCTGCAGTCACTTGTGAATTGAACTAAATGAAGGTTCATCTGATTAATGAGTATCGAGGAAATTATGTTCATCTATAAATTAGACGCAGCTTCATGTTTTTCAAGACATCTTTCCGGAATATGCGTCTGTGAAGGCGTTCAGATAATGACGATATTGCACCGTTTTATTCATGAGATTCCTGTCAACAGTAAGGTCGAGTAATAGATCGATTAAATTCAGCAGTGTTGACCCTGGGGCCTATAGTACAATTACAGTTTGATTACTTGCACGTGGTGCTAGTAACATACATGTATTAAGTTTCTATTGGCATTGAATGCATATTTCAGATAAAAGCTAATGGTATTATTGTCACAACATCTATATTGTTTGATGTTAAAAGATTTGGCAATGTGTGTTCATACATTACAATTTTTGACAGACTTGGCAAATAATTAATAAATGATATTGATAGCATCTTAATGACTTGGCCATACAGTCATGACAATTTAAGGAGTGAAAAGTGAGCGATAGGTCTTGTGGGAATTCAAAGATTTATTAAGACTGTAGCCGTCTAAGCGTAACTCCTGTGTGTAATATTTGTAAATATTCTATCCACTGAAAACATGCTTCTACTATTAATATTACATGTATTTTCATGGATTCATCATATTTTATCTATAGCTGTGCTATAGTTTCTCATTAAAATGTCTTTTCTGTTGTCGGAATTGAAGTAAGTCCAACACAGAGCTGGGATCATGTCTTTGAAATATATATGCAAACGTCTGGAACCTTGTGTTCCAATACAAGCGTTCGTAGCGCTACGGCATTCGCATGCCTATGGTAAACTATAGATCGCTTGATGTGTCTGCCCTCCTACGTTAAGACGAACGTTACCAGAAAAAAAAATGATAACAGTTTGATGATGGTTTACGTTCGGATTAAATATCTTCTCTGAATTATTTTAATTACATCTGTCATTAACGTAAACCATATGGGGCAATATGAACGTCGCATTTCTACTACCAACGTAAGTTTAGATCAGTACATCCAGATGAAGCTGAGTAGCCAAGCGACATTCCACAATTGCATTGTGGGAATGTAAACATTGCGAACGTTACCGTGACGCTGAAAACTTGTGAGTCGAATTGACACATTTTAACCGTCGTAAAACATAAACGTAATGTTTCCACCAGTGATGTTAGCTGCGTGAAGCAACTGCAAAACAAGAAACGGGATGCAACGGAGTAGTTTACTGTAGGAGGCCGTACGTGGCGATGACAACTGACATGCATCGTGACGTCGCTTACATTGTGACGTAATGTAAAATAATTCGATTACGAGGGGGCACACTAGAATGGCGCAGTGACGGGATAACGTCATTCAATTGTTACGTCATAAAAAAACTATAGCTTTATTGTCTGATAATGTATTTTTTTTCCGATTGTCCGTTAGGCATCTTATATAAATATAAATAAATATATATATGTTACAGGGAGTGTGTGAAACCAGGGATTTCACGTAATCCCTGAGGGATTCAGTGATTTCGCGAAATCACTGTGACCCTCAGGGATTTCATGTATTCCCTAAAATGTCCAGGGATTTCATGAAATTACTGATTTTCATGGTGTTCCATTTACACACATTCCCTGTTAGGATATCAGTGAATGTGTGAAATGAATGTTTGTAGCTTAAAACTTACTGTTGAGTCTCATTTCATCCCTTAGTTCTTTGGAGTTGAAAACTTTGACAATTTACCGATTAAACTTTTGGCTAATTACTACCTTGAGTCGGGATAACAAGTTAATTTTCTCACGGCTTTACTGTTTAGTCTCATTTCATCCCTCAGGTCTTAGGAGTTGAAAACTTTGACTATTTACTGATGACACGAAGTCAAGCTAAGAGAGGGAAATTACCGGGTTTCGATAATATTCCAGTTGATGTTTTGACAAATGACATCACATCTGTATAGATTATCTTCATAAACTGTTTTCTACATGTTATGAGACTGGTCATGTACCCTCCAACTGGGCCAAGGGGATCATTACCCCTACCCCTAAGTCTGGAGCTGACAACCCGAGAGACCCAATGTTTTATCGCAGCATCACACTAGTGCATCTTATTGTTATGATTAATAATTTAATCAATATTCCTTTTGTAGTTTCAAAAGTTACAGACGTAGTTTTTAGCGATTTCGTTTATAAATGGAAACAGGACCTTTTACAAGTTGGTAGTTTAACTGGTAGGGGAGGTAATAAGTTACACACGTACTGTACTTTAAAGGTGGATTTTTGCAGTGATTTTTATGTTAATTGTAATGTCTCGCTCTGAGAAAAGCAATAGCTTTGTTTAGATGTGCGGTAGCGCCGCTTAGAATCGAAACTGTAAAGATTTTATTGAAGATGAGTGTCATGTTTTATTGCATTGTCCTTTGTATGCTGATGAGCGATTACAACTTTTATCTAAATGTACAAGTCTTTTAGATATTTTTTTTGAAAAATCTGGGTATGTTGAAATAGTTAGTTTTCTTCTAGCTTGTCCAGGTGTATCGTTTTTATCTGCCCAAACCTGCCTTAATATTCTTAAAAGCGTACTGCAAATTTTTAATATCTTCTTAATGTAACTTGTACCCTTATTATTGCATTTTTAATATTCATATATTATGCTCTGTATATTGTGGCACGAGTGTCTCTCTCATAATTCCGTACGGAATGGCTCAACATTTTACTGTGATATAGCATTTTAAAAATTAACATTTTCAAACATTTTGTTTTCTTTATTGAAAATAGACGTTTAAGTTTAAACAGACTAGACCATTCATAGAAATAACTTGGAATATACATCATCTGGCTGTTGAAGAAGAGCTTTGGGATATGGGTTTGGGAAGGAAAAGGTATTTTTCAAACCATATACTAGTATTGCATATTTGTCCTCAGCGTCTTCTTTCTACGAATGATGTGACAATGGACACAGAACTGTTTCTCCACACAGCTGTAATTTTCGAGTCGAATTGTGGTGGTCAGGGTTTCCAGAAATGTAACTGTTGTCTTAACCAGTGTAAATCAATACGTTGTAAATGTTTTAAAGTGCTACTGAAGTGTAATAGCTTGAATGATAACACTCTATCTTGTCCCAACAAATGAATTTTATCAGGAAATACTCTGTACTCGCATTATAAATTTGGTGTTCTCTGTTTCAATAAGGGCTTACAGGGATTTCATGAAATCCCTAAGCCAATATTTCAGTAATTTCATGGAATCCCTGGAAATTTTAGGAAATACATGAAATCCCTGGGGGTCACAGGGATTTCATGAAATCATTGACTCTTTCAGGGATTACGTGAAATCCCTGGTTTCACACATTATATATAATATATATATATATATATATATATATATATATATACCTGTAACATATATATATCTATATAACTATATTTACATATTTAT